GGCGGCGCGGCCCCTGAGGCGGCCGCCATGTACGCGGCCGCCGCCGCCGCCTCGCCGCCCCGGCGCGACTTCATCTCGGTGACTCTGAGTCCCGAGGAGGCGGTGGGCGCCGGCGGCTACAACAACAGCAAGGCCTGGAGGCGGCGCTCGTGCTGGCGGGTGAGGGGGGCGCGGGGGCCTGGGCTGGGGGGGAGCTGAGGGAGGACCCGGCCGCGGGGTCGCGAGGGTTGTTGAACCCGAGGGTCCCTGGGCAGGGGGTGCCGGTGGCTGGGGGGGCTGCCCCCCCCCTTCACGGCAGCGGGAGGAGAGCCCCGGGCAGCGGGGGAGCCCCCGGGCTGCGGGGCCTCGGCGCCTGGGGCCCCTTCAGAGCCCGGGGGGTCCCTGGGCCATTGGGGGAGTTACCCGGAGAGGAGGCCGCCCTGCGCTGTGGGGAGGCTGCCCTTGCCCCCAGCCCCGAGGTGTCACCAGGCTGCGGGGCTGGGGGTGCTGCGGGGCTGGGGGCACCCGGCGGTGGGAGCACCCCGCGCCGGGGCCCCTGAGCGGTGACGGGGCTGTGGGTCCATCCTGCCCTCGTCTGGCCTTGCGGGGAGAGCAGGGCTACTGCTGGGGAGGGAATCCGGCCCTTTGCAGGCAAGGTGARGAGGGACCTCTTGGCGAGGTGGGTGGGAGGGAAGGTGAGATGTTTTTTTGGCCTTGGTGTCTTTGCACCCTGTTTTGGCACTTGAAGGAGGAGCAACGTCCTCTGCCATGGAGAAGTGGGGATAGCGGCTGCACTTCTGGTGGGAAGACAGTTGAGCATCAGACAGGTGTTGCTRGCAGGGCTCTGTGGATGTGCTCTGGTTTTCTGCTTGGGGGAAGGAGCAGTTGGGGAGCTTGGATGGCAGTGGAAAACTGTGCCCTCGGGGAGCAGGTGACCCTGCACCCTGCTGCCAAAAGCCCAGAGGAACAGCCACCTGGCAGGGGCTGGCGATGTGGTCAGGGTGCGTGAGAGCCCTTTAGGGACACAGGACTGCAGCGCCTGCCTTATCTAAAACCGTTGCAGGGTACATTTCATCCTTCCTTTGTCTTTATTATCAATCAGAATACGTGGATGCTGGTGAATGCAMTCCTAGGGACAGGTCTCATGTCCTTGGGATGCATAGGAATAGAAATATAGGAATATATAAGTATAGAATATAGGAAAAGTATAGAGCTAAGGACTCTTCCTTTCTGCTCCAAGTAAGCGGAGAGCTGTGGGCTTCACCAACGCCCTCTGAAAGTGCAAGGCASTTGTGCCGTTGGCAGCGTGGATGGAGTCCGAGATGAAGGAGCAGATTCAGCRTGAGGGAGAGTGTCCGGGAGCGCTGCGCGTTGTGGCGCTTCGCGAGGCCGCTGCGCTGGTCGCTCCTCGTGTGGTTATTTGCAGTCTGTGTTTTTTATTAAGAATGTGAGAACTATAGGAAGTACGTTAGGGTACAGCAGCAGGTAGGAACTGCAGAGTGTCCCCGCGCTTAGTTTCTGCATTAAAACCTCCCTTGCAATGTGCCAAAGCCAGGCTTTAGAAGTCAGGGGAAACTGGGGTGCGTGGGTAGCATGTTAGTTAGGAAAGTAACAATACAGTAATAGAAGAGTTAGTTAAGATCAATGTGTTAAAGCCTCCAGTGAGAAAATCTTTTTTGTTACACTATCATAACCTTTGAGGTCTGAATTTTGGCAGTTTTGTTGTAAATAGGTGCTTCAATTTGAGAGAAAAAAAAACCCTAAGATTTTGCCCAATACTGATCTTTTGTCTTTTTCATTATGCTGTTGTTTACTTCATTTTCACCATCCTGCAGGTTGGTGACWGTATTTGTTGTGGCAGGCCCTAATTTGGCTGATACTTTCACAAATGTTACTTGTCAGAGGCAAAATGCCTACGTCAGTGCTTAGCTTTATATTGAGCCATTCTTCTTTGCTGCAATATCATTTTTTAGTTTTCCTGCCACTCTCTTTTGTTTCTCACTTTGTATATCTCTGTTTGTTAACCACAACAGAGGAGTCCGATGGCTCATTTCAAGCTTTACGTCTAGGCAGACGTGCGGGTCAGCCAGCAAAAGGCAGTGGTGAAAATCTAGATGATGMTCTTGCAGGGAGTCTCTGCCCTGACAGCTTCTACTGTTCTTGTACTGAGTGATGTTTCTCCTGAGCCATATGTTGTCCTGTAATATTGCTGTCCTGTCATCAAAAGAAAGCAAACAATGGACTTCAGCAGTTGGAAAAATGGAGTAAAATTAGGTGCGACTACATTTATGTGTCTTGCTCTGAATAGATAGGAGTCTTTTTTGACTGTGTGGGTTCTCTAACGTCATGCTAAATATTCTTCTTGTTCATTTTCTTTCCCAAAGAAATGGAAGCAGCTGTCTCGACTACAGCGGAGTGTGATTCTCTTCCTGTTTGCCTTCCTCGCCGTCTGCGGAGTCATTTCATATACAACCATGGGAGAGACGTGGAAAAGTATGTGCTCTGTGTGCTTCGAATTGCCTAAATGAGTTCGTATGTTTAACAGATCGCTTTAGTTTTACTACATAATTCTAGCTCCTAGTGGCAATGACTGGGGCGTTTATTAAAGTGGAGTTGTGATGAGTTTTATGTGATGAGTTTTATGTGATGTTTCCTTGGTTATGCTTACTCAGAAAGGCACGTTTTAATATGCCTTTTAGTTCTTTATCGTGACTAGCAGCGACATTTTGATGATTCAGATCTGGAGGCCATGAGTGTGTTTTGATTATGTTTGTGTGTACGTATTGGTAACCCAAATATACTCACCAAAGATAAGATAATCCCCTGTTCGGCTTTTAAATTCTATGCTTTTCAGAAAAACATTTAAAACAGAAAACATTAAAACATTAAAAACAGAAAAAAATTTACCTCCAGTATTATCTTGGCGCCCGAACTAAAAATCGGAAATGAAAAGAAAAACATGCTCTCTTCAACAGCCTCCTTTTATATTCTGGAAATCTTAATGTCAGAAGACACTTCRTGTTTAAAAAGCAGTGCTTATTTACCAGTGTTTTGTGAGTGGAAACATTTTTGGAGGTGCATAGAGTATGTGAATGCCTTCCTAGCTGGAGTCTAGGTTGCTAATTCCCTGTGCTGAGTGCTTTTATGTGTCTAGGTCTAACAAACAAATCCCTGGACGATCAGAGAGCAGAACCAGAAGTTCCTGGGCTAAAGTTGGCAAATCCAGCTGTTTTACCAGCACCTCGCAAAGCAGATGCCAAACTTGGAGACTACCCAGAGCTTTCACCTCAGGTACCGTATGATGAAGTGAGCCTTATAAACCTGCCAGAGAATTTGTGAAAGTTGCCAGTAGTGCTTGGTTCCAGCAGTTGTCATGGAAAAGAGAAATTATAGCCTGCAATAAAATTTGCCTTGGATGGAGTGATATCCTCTCAGGAAGAGCTTTGGTTATGGTATAGTAGGTATCGGCTTTAAGCCATACCCAGTCTGAGCCTAAAGAAGAGGGACTCTGTGTGGTTCCTGGGAATTCCTTATTCTATCTGAAGAACTTTAGCCATTTCTTTAATAGGAATGCTGCTGGATAATGTGTTTAGAAGAYGCTGGGTGAAAATGGGAGTAGCAGGAACAGCAGTGGGAAATGCTTTTTCTAAATTGCCGGTGTGTCTTGGAGGAGAGAAGTGTAGGTCGTGTTGGCCTGTTATTTGAGACTTCACCTTCCTGATGTGATTTGTTTGACCTTTTAGTGCAGTAGAGTATCCAGGCATGAGTCTTGCAGTTGCAAGGAGCCTAAATGGAGCATGTGGTTGAATGCAGCATAACATGTGATCAGTGTCACACTGAATTCTTGCTAATTCTAATAAAAATTACTGTATTAGTAAAATGAAATCAGATATCTTTATATTCTTTTGACAGTGTCTTATGGTAATTTTGTTACTGGTAGACRTAGTGAATTAAAGATAATTTATCAGTGTATATTTACAAACTGTGTAGCCTTACTGAAGTTCAAAGAAAACCATGTAAGGTCTTTGGTTTTTTGTTTGTTCTTATTTGTTTGTTTTTCTCTGTTATGTTTTCAGAAGCAGCCAAAGTTGCCTCATGTCCGCCGTGGTCCTCCTAATCTTCAGATCAGGCCACCACGGAGGGACGTGAGGCTGAAGACCCAACAGGATACCAACAAAGTTTTAGAAGAACCAGTCCAGTCTGATAAAGAAGAGAAAACAGAGAAATCTGTTATCAGGTAGAAATAGTTCCAGCAAGTTATAGCTTTTGTCATTTTGTTTTCTTCTTGTCAGTATCCCTTGGCTGTTGCAGCAGAAATTGTAGGGCCTTTTTGTTGTCCGTGTTGCCTTTTTTTCCCCCCCCTCCCTGTATTTATGTTTATTCTCTCTTGCCTGACGGCTCTTGATATTACTGTGTTGATTTATTTAATTTGGGCGAATGCGTGCCTTTTCTGTTATTTTTATTGTAGAATTCCAGGGAAGCCCTGCTAGACTCTGTGTTTCTCGTGACTGTAAACACTCTTAGTGCCGTGCAGAATTTTCAGCGTGTGTTTCCACTTGTTTTCTGGAAAATGCGAACATACCAATGTCAGTGTAATACAGACACAGGGGGCTCTGCCCTAGTCCAGACTTGAAGGTCATAGCAGTATCACCRTGCTGGGTAGCAATATGATGGCAGTAGCTGAAGCAAGCCCAAGTAAAGCTGGCAGAAGCTGTAGGTATGTGGCTGTACAGATGGAACTGTATAAGATCTTACCCTTTTCTTCACAAGGGATTAGTGGTTATACCAGTTTGGAGCATCCTTTATACAGATAAAATAATTGCTTTATCAAGGGACYTGTGATGCTCTGACTGTTGATACAAAGATATAATTCCCTAGACTATTACTGAGAGGAGTCTTTTGATTTGAAATAACTGAGAGGATGTAACTTTGCTATAGAAAAGACTACTAGAAATTCAGTAGAGGTGCTTAAGGTGTGAGGGCACTAGACTTCATTTTCTGAATGCATTAGTGTCCTTTTCCGCACTGACATGACTCAGCTGATGATGGTGGCAGAATTGTTTTTTTCAGCCTTTTGGCTGTTAGGATTGTCTGAAGGTGCTTGGAATGACTTGGAGAGCATCGTTCCTGTACCTCCACTGATCCTATGGCTGGGAGACTAGCAGTAACAGTTAGGATAGTTTAGGAAAATGGTTACATCATAGCAAAATCTTGTTACAAATTTTAAGAGAGAGAGTAAGAAAAAGAAATGATTTATGCAAATCATAAGGWATGCTAATGGAAAACAAAATGGACTTTAAAGGTTCTTCAGGCCAAGGTCCATTAGCAGTTGYATCATGAACTCAAAATAAATGTTTTTATTAAGAACAATTGAGATTGTTTGATCTTTATATGAATCTGGCAGGAACTGCAGTCCATTTTAAAAGACTTTTTTTCCTTCAAAACAGTTTTTATTAAAACTTCTTTCAGTTGTTTTGTGCTTCTGTGTTGGTGGGAAAGGCTTTTGAACCCTTTGATATTAAAGCACATACTTTCAATACTTCATACTTCATTGTGCTTATTTGTGATTTCCTAATGATGTTCATTTGTACAGTGCTAATTTAGTGCCAGTGGCTCCTAAGAAAATAAAAGTTTTGAAATGAAAGTAAATACTTCAAATGCAGCAATCTTAGGTGCTTGCATGTATATTGAAATTTCTTTGCAAAATTCCAATGCCAAGATATTTMATAAAATCTCGAGAGCTGGAAGATGCATTTCTTAACTTGGTGAAATTTCTCTGGTGCAAATGACAAATAGCTGTTGACTAACACATTTATTTTGGATCTTTGATATGAAATCTAACTCCTGTTTCATCAAATGTGGTGAAAATGAGTAATGCACAGATTAATTTTGTTCATTTGCACAATTTTCTGTAATCAAATGAAGGTTTAATTTCAATTCCTTGTATCTTGTAGCTGGAGAGGAGCAGTGATAGAACCTGACCAAAGCACTGAACCTCCTTCTAGCAAAATTAAGGAACCAGAAAAACCCTCATCTATGGAAGCTGACAACCAGAAAGAACCAGGTAGGTAGAACAATTAGATACCTTTATATCTGTTGACTGTCATGGTCAAAGTTGTGCAATTCATTTTCACCCCCTGCTCCTGCACCTTTTATTTATTTATTTTTTCTTAATTGATGGGAAAAAAATCTGATGGGAGAAGGGTATAGGAAAATTCTCTATAAGATCTCTATAAAAAAGAATTGTTGGTATAGGACATCAAAACTTGTCAGTGCCCTTGCTCTGCACTGAATAAGGACACATTTGTTAATTTTGGTTGAATTCTAGTTTTGATTCTAAATACCAAATAATAATTCTGATGCCTAAGTGCAATTTACCTAACGTGACTACTTTTTTAAAGGTTGTAGACTGCATGCCATGCAGCTCACTGCTACCTTTTTCCTGTCTTGGACTGTGTGTGCATCTGAAAAGCATGTTGGGTGTCTTCTCTCAGGTGCTGCATAGACCACATCCTCTTTCATTTTGTTATCAGGACCATAGCTACAACGGGAGTGGTTCACTTATATGAAAAATTATGTGCATATTCCCTCGTACTCTATATTTTTGCAGGCAGCACCATTTTCTCTGACATTTTGAAGCAAATTTACCCCAAGCTAGAACCTTGTTTGATTTGGGGCTTCTGTGATGCTCTTCTAGAAGATAACTTCTTCATGTTTAGAGATTTGCACGTCTGTTCTCATTTTCATCCCTTGTCTTGTGAATTTTGTATGCTTTCCCCTGCTTGCATTTATATTAATCCAATGTAGAGAAATGAGAAGAATGGRCACTAAACATGTGCACTGTGTATTTTAATTTTTTCTCTTTGTTGACAGAGGTATACAATCCCTTTGGGACATCTTACTTACATTTTTGCTTTCCTTAAACAATTAGAGTGACATTAAAAATAAATTCTAGTGCCATATCTTYGAAATCCACCTCCTGGGAAGAAGCAGACATGCCCATCTCTTCTCCAGGAAAGTAATTTATCGAGAGAGAGAGAGCTTGAATCATATGACTTCCTTTTCCAGCAGTGGTTTTACTTTCCCTGGATTGCAGAACAAAAGGCTTTTTTTTTTTAAGTTGGAACTATTTTTAAGGCTCACCAGGAAGCTGAAGAATTTGTTTTTGCAGTTGCTGTCCTTGTGGAACCTGTTATTCTGCTTTCCAGGTTCATGTGAGGAAATTCTGGGATGATAAATGCAGACACTGGAATAATACAGTGTAATGAATTCCACTTGTGTTAGCAAAATATGTGACATTAGTTATGTTGCTTGATGTCTTCCACTCTGAAATTCCTTCTTCATTAGTTTATAATTTTGCTAAACCTCAGCTAATGGGATTGTTGATTTGCATGCTGGATGTTACCTGGGCTCAATTCTTATAATAAATCACAAACATAAATTTCAACCATTTTGCATAGTAGAACAATGGAAAAAGTCATGACTTTACCCAAGACAGAAAAAGTCACTTTTTTCTATTCTTTTTAAATGAGAAGCTGAAGAGAACAAGATGAAGAGAAAACATTTTATGGAGCTGACTTAATTTAACAGAAAGGAATGAATAAGGCATTGAAGATAAAGGAAAAAAAATGATAGTAGTAAATTAGATGAGGACTRTATTTTTAAGTACATGTATACAACAGCTCAATTACAGTTGATTAGGTAATCTTAATCCTGGCTTTTCCTGACTTTCAGGTGTTTGAGCTATAACGATCTTATCTAGTAAGTATGCACATGATGATCTGAATGTTGTATTTGAAGAGATTACCCTTACTTTGTCAGGGAGAGACCTCTGTTTCCATTTGGCTGAACTGCTAACTAGGGATACTGACTGTTTGCTCCACAGAGAAAAGGCTGTACTGAAAAAAGATAACCCAATGATGGGTTTTTCTTTACACCAGTCACTTAATTTTAGAGAAGAAAAAGAAAAAAACCCAACAATTTGAGACTGAATTCAGCAATCTGATGTTTGGGATGGTTGTATAACTCGACTGCAGAAGTCGTGAGCCAGGTGCTGCTTTTCCTTTTGCAGTGCCCATAAATGAGCGTCAGATGGCTGTGATCGAAGCATTCCGCCATGCCTGGAAAGGATATAAGGATTTTGCCTGGGGACATGATGAGCTGAAGCCTTTGTCCAAGTCTTACAGCGAGTGGTTTGGACTTGGCCTTACTCTAATTGATGCTTTAGATACCATGTGGATTTTAGGCTTGAAAGAAGGTAACTTTTTTTTCCCTCTTTATTTATTTAATTATTTTTCTCTCTCTAAAATAATTCCTTCTTATCTATTCAGGAAAGATGTTCAGACTTCTTTGAAGAGAACACTGATTACGTGTCAGTGATGAATTTAGTACATATTTGCTCTCATAGGAAAACTCTGTATAAAAGAACCCAAACATGCTCAAGGATACTTTTGCTCTTGGATAAGAATTTGAGCCACAAACAAAATATGTGTAACTCTGAATATCTCTGCTAGAAATTGAGGTGTGGACTAGCAGACCACCTGAGTGTGTTTCTCTACTAAATTCCTGGAGTTCTTTGTGGCATTATACAGCCATCATAGACTCTCTACCTTATTTTGTTAGCCTGGACTCCCCTACTTTTGTTTAGTGCAACTGAAGAACAATGTTCACTTTCTGGATTTATATGATTAGTTCCTCTAAGGAGTCAGTGAAGGGAGAAGGGGAATTTCAGTAATTCCTTCTTGAACTATTGTACTGTGAATATTTTCTCACATTTTGCTTAGAGAAGGCTTTTAAACAGATTTTAAAAACTAGGTCAAAAATTCTGCAATACTATTGCAATACTATTGCAGTAAAGTAGCTTAAATAATATCCCAAAAGGATTCCTCCCCTCTGTTTTTTTTCCAAGTAGTATTTAAAAATTTCTGGAGTTGAGTCTTTTTAACATTGGTAGACAGCTCCCTTAGTGTCATTTTAGAAAGAATACATCTCTTTCCATCAAGAGAGAAGGATCAGAGCTGCAAGGAGGGACACAACGAACAGTAGAGGTTTTTCCCACTTTTTTCTTTCTTACTTTTGAAGTTTGTGTTCATGTAAAATATTAAAACAAATTCCATCTCATGAGTCTCCAGCTCTAGGCTTAAGCAGGCTATCTTGAAATGTCATCAAGTTGACAGGGTGCTGCTTTTCTAATAAAAAATTAGTTGTGAATTGTATAGAGCTTTTAAAATAAATTATTAGTGATTTAGATGTGTGAAGAATGGCTTCTGTTGAAGGCCTTTTCATATTTTATAGCAGTTTTCCATTTAGTGATTGCTTTAGAAAGCTCTTGGGGTTTCTTCTGAATAACAGATGCTATATAAATGGAAGTTGTGTTTGAGGTTGCTGATCTTGTTTACYAGCTAGAGCTCTTGTGAAAGAGGACCTTGTATTTTTGTTATGCACATTGCTGTTAGATAGTGAGAAAGTCTAGCAACACAGATTTTCTCCTGTGGTTCGTCTCAGTAGATTTACAATATATTTACCCAACATCTAAGAAAACCCAGAATTTACAAAGCTGCCTGAATATTCCAGACTGTCTGGTGTAGTTAAAACAGTCTGTTCAATTTAGGATAAGCTATCACAGATTTTATTCTTAAAACATACTCCATGGGTGTTGCCATTTTTTCCTTGTGGGAATATGGAAACATCCCCTCACTGACAGTTAGTTTCCTGGTCGTTATCTTGTATTTCTGTGGAACTGGTTGTTCTTCCTTGACCACTTGCAGGGGATTTTTCTTTCTGGCAGATATGAAACAGTTTGAAGGAGCTGCTTAGCCCTCAGTAGTAGAAGCATCCGCTAAGACACCAGAGCCCATGAAAAAGCAGTCGCTGAGAGATGCTGCTGAACAGCTTGCTTCAAATCCCAAGTGTTTTATTTTTTAATTAGTATTATYTTTTTCCTCCTCATTCCTTTTTGACTTTCTAGTTGCATCTGACAATAACATTTGTGTACCTTGGGGGGTGCAAAAAACTGCAGACTGTCTTAGACACCATGTAGATTTGGTGCTTCTGAGTTTTGTGGGTTAAATGCTGAAGTAGAAGGCAGACTCTCCAGAGCACTGCCAGTCTGGATATGGCAATGGCTGTTAATTCAAAATATTATCTGTTATGATGACAAATAACAACTTTGGTTTAAAAAAACCTTAATTTTAAAGATCAAAAATGTTTTGTGGAAGTGTAACACTCTGTCTAGTTAAATGGACAGATATGAAAGATTTCCGCGTCTGGATGATTTTAATAGAGAATGATTTATTTAAAACTATTAGCAGCTTCTTATTTTGCTTTGTGCTTTTCTCTTTATACATCTGTGTTGCACACTAAATAAGAATCAAGAAATTTCCCTGCATTTTATTTTTCTGCTTACAGTTATGACTTCTCCTATAGATATGAGCAACTGCTTTGGATGTATAGAATAGTAATGCCTCTACCCAGTGATTGGAACATGCTGGAAGTTCATTATAGATCCTCCTTTTATGCCTTGTAGAGTTTGAAGAAGCAAGAAAATGGGTAGCAGATGAGTTAGTGTTTGATAAAAATGTGGATGTGAACCTCTTTGAGAGCACTATTCGTATCCTGGGGGGCTTGCTCAGCACCTACCATCTCTCTGGAGACAGCCTCTTCCTGGAAAAAGCAGTAAGTGCTTCGTGTCTTACAATCAGAATTGGAATATGTAGCTGGTATTGTGCAAAGACTCCTCGGAAAGTTAAATGTACCTTTTTTTCATCTGCGTTTCATTCTTGCATCTTATCAATTGTTGGCTACATCCTTAAATCAGTGTTCATCTGAGCACAGATTTAATGACTTTGGAATTAATTCATGTGGGTTTGCAGAATCAACTAATCAACTAAAGCCTGCAATATGGGGAATAAGGTGGAAACTCTGAAATCCTTAACTGTGAATGCATCCACAATCCTTTTTAGTTTTTTGCATCCTTGCACACTCTAAAAATAAGCTTTTTTTTTTTTTTTTTTTTTTTCTTCTTATTCTCCTGCTTGCCTGTTGAAAGAACATATATTTATATGTTTCTGTCCTGTGGTCTTGGGTTTTCTTCAGAAAGACATTGGGAACAGGCTTATGCCAGCATTCAACACACCCTCCAAGGTACCTTACTCCGATGTGAACATTGGCCGAGGCACAGCGCATCCGCCRCGGTGGACGTCGGACAGCACCGTGGCAGAGGTGACCAGCATTCARCTGGAGTTCAGGGAGCTCTCTCGGCTCACCGGAGAGGAGAAATTCCAGGTACGGGAGAATTGGTCAAAACTCCCCTCCCATCCCATTTACAGTATGACCTTTAATGCCATGGTGTGTGTAAACCCTTAGTAATACTGAATGAGCTGTCAAACTCTAGATGAAGAAATGTTTAGGAAAAAAAATCATGGATGCCCTTTTGTAAGTATTGGAGTAGTGTTGCCCTAGTTGAGCCCTCCRAGGAACTTAATTAAAATGCAAAATCAATAAATCTGAGCCTTGTAGAAGGTTCCTTTGTAAGAGAAAGTTAGTTGAAACAAGTATTTCCAACAAAAAATAATTTCCCCTGCACTTCCATTTAGCAATGTTTTCTTTGCTGTTTTAAACTGCATATATATCCCAGAGCACTTAAATGTATCTGTATCGTTGTATTTTGAGAGCCAGTCTGAAAGCCTTTATTTAACATATTGCATGAGCTAAATTTAATAACCCTTATGCTAATTTGAGGAAGAACAGTTCAAGATTTGTTGTTAGTCTGAAGTTTTTAGTCATTTTTATATATTATTTATATATATAATTTACATTCACTCCTGTTTTTTCCTCACAGAAAGCTGTAGATGACGTAACGAAGCATGTTCACACCCTCTCAGGGAAAAATGATGGACTAGTGCCTATGTTCATAAACACCAATAGCGGGCAGTTCACTCACCTGGGTGTCTATACTCTGGGAGCCAGAGCTGACAGCTACTATGAGTATTTGCTCAAGCAGTGGATTCAGGGTGGGAAAAAAGAAAATGAGTAAGTGCTTTCCATTTCTCTTACGAGTATGAGGATGGTACTCGCCAGAAAACTTTCTGTTGCAGTTTATTGACTTTTTAAGTAGTAAACAATGTACCCAACAGTCCACTAAAGGTATTGCCGAGTGTTTAACAGCGAGCTAGGAAGAAAAGAGAATCTGTGGTAATTTGATAATAAGAGCTCCAAGCTTGGTCTTAGAACCTCTCAGAAAGCTTCTCTTCTTCAGTGCATTAGGTGTAAGGAGAGTTGCAAACAGATGAGAAGTTAGTCCTTGCAGTAGGTGGAACATACACAGATACTTTAGCTGCTGTGTTTCCTGTGTACTGTGTTCTTAGATACTGCGTTTCAACACCAGTGCCTAATTCCACCGTGCCTCATCTCAAACCTACTAACTGGTTTAGGTGGGTGAGTGGTGATTTTGCTTGTGTTAGAAGAAGTATCTGATATTTATGCAGGCTTTGCTTTAGCTTTCTTGTTTTTCTCTTATATATATGGATAAGCAGAGGGCAGAATTGAATGAATCAGGGGATTTAGAGTTGTCCAGGAGCGGGGGAGGAAGGTTTCCTTCAAAACAAGAGAAAAACCCAACTAGTTTTCATTGCTCGTTACTACTTTTGTTGGACTTTTTTTCGGCTGGGGGATTTAATGCACGTGGACATCAATATTTCGAGGGCTTCCATTATTATCAGCAGATGTATCTCTACAAAGCTAGTTTGTATCACTGTTTTTTCCCTCAGTACTCTGGCTGTAACCTGGGAACAGTTGTTTCTGGGACCGTGAATCGTGGCTTTTTGTCAGCGTCAAATGGATTTATTCAACAGGGTTTTCTTATACCAGAGTACTTTCATGGTAGCTATAATTAATTCTTAGTCTCCTAGATGGTGACTTGTAGTTTTTGTCAGTTTTTATATTCAATTAAATACTAAACTCAAGAGCTTTCTAAAAGGTTGTGTTGAGTATTAGTCGTAGTGAAACTTATTCTGAACGGGTGTGTTTGAGCTAACTGGGATTGCTTTTTAATTCACAGGCTGCTGGAAGACTATGTGAGAGCCATAGAAGGAGTGAAAAAGCATCTTCTTCAGAGATCACAACCTAAGAAGCTTACCTTCGTAGGAGAGCTTGCTCATGGCCATTTCAGTGCCAAGATGGTACGCAGCACACTAATGTTATTTAAAATAAATAATAAAGACACCCCCCACACCCACCTCTAACACAACCCTTGGCAGCTGTTGGGCTGTCACTTGAGCTGTCAATCTATGAGCAAAGACTGAGCATATGAATCGAGACCCTTGATGCGCTGCTGGAATGCAAGTAGCAACAGCTTTGGATTGCATATACATGTGATGTACCAGGGAGAAACTAAAGGGCATGTGGAGGAGGTGGAGGATTATAGCAGATCTGAGGGGCTGGTATGGTCCTCTTTTAAAAGAAAAGGACTGTAACCAGTATAATGCCACCTCTGAGTAACTGGTTTGCAGATAGCTGTCACTTGTGCAGAACAAGGATTTTTGTCTTTTGCTTATGTTTCCTTCTCTGAGTCACTCTAGAATTTCCAGTTATGTTCCTGCAGTAGTGAGCTTTTTGATGCTGGGATGGGTGTTCTATTTATTTTTGATGTTGTTCTTTTCAGTYGTACAGATGTTTTATCTGAAACTGATGAGGCAGTACCTATTTTATTCATTTGTCTTCTCCATAAATCCAAAATAAGTGGTGGCCTTCACACCTGGCTTTTCATATTTACCTTCAAAAGAGCAGTTGATCTAACATGTCAAAAAAAAAAAAATCTGAGAATTTTGGGTCATAGTGTCCATTTGGGGCATTTGATTCCTTTCCTGCATATAGGATTAATGGATGAGATACCATGCTGTTGGTTATAGGGGAAAACTTTCCATCTTAACTTTTGGTCTTCATCTTTGCATTCATTTTCTTTGTATCATCTGGTGTCTGGATTTTATTTGTTTACGAAATGTTCAGTTCTGTTCTTTAGCATGTGCTCCTAACATCTGACTTTCCCAAAGTCTCATAGTGCTTTTAGTGAGACCAGAGTCTGGGTTTTGGTTAGAGGGAGCTCCCCCACTTTCAAAATCTGACAAGACTGAAGTCATTCAGAATTCATTGGCTTGATGTCAGGGTGAGTGAATACACTTGYTTTTGTCCCGGGGAGCCACTGGGTGGCTTCATCAATTATCTTTGCCTAAAGGACTTTATAGGTGTCCTAGGATGTTTGTCTAATGTATTTATACTGACCTTCACCCTCCTCAGGCATTTCCTGTAGGATTGCACAGGGCATTAGGAGTTTAACACAAGTACTGTTCATGTACTGGCACTTTTTCACTATATTTTTGATTGATGAGCTGAGCYTTCATTTTTAACATTAAAAGAGTTATTAAAAATCCTGCATGTGACACTACTGAGTAATTCCTATGTTTAGCAGGGGTGGGTTAGGCCCTGAAAGAGTAGAACCAATCTTGTATTGCAAGCTGAAAATAAATGGAGTTGAACTTTTGGCATTTTATMTAATGCTCTTCTCAAATACATTGAATTCTTCTTGGAAATGTGACTAAATTCATCTTGGTTGTTTATAGATATTACACAGRTTTTGTGGTAACACTGTACCCCATGTCCTTTGAACAGTTTGCTATGCCATCTAGAAGCTAAGAAAGAAAAGTCCCTGGAGTCTTTTTGTGGCTTCTGCTTTGCTTTGGGAGAACAAGCACAAGTACCGTGCACTGGATCATCCTCAGAGAGCTCTTCCCTACCTCACCGATAGAGGAGAAGGGAATAATAGCCTTTTGTTATCCCAAACACGTTGCCAGAAAGGGGCAACTTTCAGGCAGAAATAGGCTTGTAAGCTTAGTGTTGTTTTTAAGTTGTGTCAGTGGGTGAAATAAAAGCTGTTTCTCTCTCCAAGTATTGTCTATCTGTCATTACTCTCTGAGACCATTATCTTCCATTTTCCTCTTCCATTTTCCCTTCATTTTCTGTGGTTAACTCTGACCTCTGTGTCTCACACAGAGGTCACTTGACACTTAAGAAACAGATTTCTTATGTCACAGAGTTGTTTTAACTTTCTCTATCGTTTTCTTTTCTGCTTGTTCTTTGTGTCATGGCATAAGTACTCCGGATCACTAAAGGTCTTTTTATCAGCACAAATATTTTTTTAGKAATGGCCAGTCTTTGAAATCCGCTAGGATCTGTTTTGAATGCTGTCTGAAAATATTTGTGCTTTACAAACTAATTTTTACAGTAGTTTTTGTATTTTCTAACTTTTCTTTCTCTTTTTTATGTTCAGATGATGATAAGCTTGTCCCTGACTTAGTTGTCTGTATCGAGAAATAACTTAAGATGATATATATTTAATGAAATATTGTAACAGTTTTGGAAAACTAGATTTTCTCTACCCCACCCTCAATACTTTCTTGTTTTCAATAATTTGTCACAATTATAAAAAAGTAAGCAGGGACTTGTACCTTCTTCAAGTGCCTGTAGTAATGCTGCCTGCATTACATCTGTTTCTTCAAAATTTACCCCTGAGATGTTCGTACCTGAAATGTAGAGAGACCCGATTTGTATTCTAATATTAAAGTGTTCATTTTACTTCAGTTGATTTGCTTCTCTTTTCCAGTATCAGTTGTCTTGTCTTGCAGGATCATCTGGTTTGCTTTTTGCCTGGTACTTTGGCGCTGGGAGCTCACAACGGATTGACTGCCGATCACATGAAATTGGCTGAAGCCTTGATAGAAACCTGTCACCAGATGTACGTGCAAGTTGAGACAGGCCTGAGCCCAGAGATCGTGCACTTCAACCTTCATGCACCAAAGGGCCACAAAGATGTTGAAATCAAGGTGAACAGCTTGTTGACTTGAACTGTAATTTGATGTCCATTTGTGTTGTGTTGGTTCTGTACTTTATTCAGCTGCTCAAACGCTCAGTGATGTTCCCTGTTCTCACTGAGCAGCTTTGCAGATGCATCTTAATGCACAGAATGAATCATTTGGGGTTTATGTAGGTGGGCAATATCAGTCTGCCACACCATCTTTTTCCCTGCATCTGAATTATCTATGTCTTTCTTGTTTTTTTTTTCCCCTGCTCTTGCAGCCTGCAGACAGGCATAACTTGCTGCGACCAGAAACTGTGGAAAGCCTTTTCTATATGTACAGATTCACCGGAGATAAGAAATACCAAGACTGGGGCTGGGAAATCTTGCAAAACTTCAATAAGTATACACGGGTAAGATCAGCCTGTAATGATCTAACTTTTTGAACGTTTTAGCTTCTCTGTCTCACTCGAACTTCTCAAACTTCTGTTTTCAAGAGCCAGCAAATAACCTGTGGGGAGAATCTTAAGAAGCAAAACCATTCAGTTCATGTACTGCCTTAAAGGTTATCCCACTCTAAAAGCTTAGTATGTTAAGGATACTCCCTCTAAAAAATATTAACCCCCTCTTCCTCCCCCCCTCCCAAGAAAAACCCAAAAAACTGCCAGAGAAGCCAGAAAATATCATTAATGCTTCAGTTAGGTCTAGAGGATTTTTTTTATTATTATTATTMTGAATACAGTAGTCATGGAGAGATCTCTGTGCTGTAAAAGTGTGGTCCAGGATGCTAGTGGTCATTAAATATCTACAGTATGTTCTTAAAAGAATACRTGTGGTAGTGTGACTAACTGTAATGTAGAAATTAGAGTGTTTGCTTTCAATATATTTTTTCCAGAAATTTCTGTGGGATGTTATTTGTAATACTACTTATGCATTAAGCATAAATGGACATTTTGCTTCGTTTTATTCTGGTGGTTTGAATGGCAGTGTGTTTTAGTGCACTGTGTTTTTTCATAACTGAAGTTATATATAAAATGGAAAATAAGTACTTAGTAAGAAGCAGAATTTCTTAATTTACTACTTACTTTCACTTCTTAAAGAACATTTAGTTGCTTTTGAAGAAAATAATATCTTTTAGGTTACAGATATACACAAAATTTCTGCTTCTTTACACAGGTTCCTACAGGTGGTTATACTTCCATTAACAACGTCCAGAATCCCAGTAATCCGGAGCCACGGGATAAGATGGAGAGCTTCTTCCTTGGGGAAACACTCAAATACATGTTTTTGCTGTTTTCAGATGACATAGACTTAATCAACCTTGACAAATATGTATTTAACACAGAAGCTCATCCACTCCCAATTTGGATGCCAGCATAGACATAGTATCAGTAGACCTTCCAGTGGTGGCGTCTTTATCTCCAAGTCACTTTAATTTTCAGGGTTTGAAGAGAGATGCTGTATTTGCACCTTTCCTGGCTTAAAATGAACAAACAGAACCTTTAGAAGAGCATCTCTGGTAGAGAGAAGTTTTGTCAGTCTTAAATCTATCCCCAGAGCTTTAGTTCAGGGATGGACAAACTGTGCCATGCTGAGCTGCTTTGCCTGGTATTGATCATTAGGTCAAGAGAAGAATTGTGATGTGGACCATGGCACTCACTGGGCTCTGGTGAACCTGAACTCACTAGTCAGTCTTACTAAATGATAATTAAGTAATAGGAATGCAGCTAGCTGTCTTACAGCACAGGGTTGTTGCTGAAGAGAAGGAATAAACCAAAAAATTCCAAGTTTATTCGGGCCATACTGAAACACTTGGCTTATGGCACCACTTCCGTGTAAGAACCTGTTTTAGACGGTAAGTGGAATAACCAACGAACTGTACAGTTGTCCAAGGTAAAAGCAAAGGTGTCAGTGTTGTTACTGATGCTCTGATCTCATTCCAGACTGTTGAGCTAYGCTGCGTTACGCTAGCAGGAGAAAGTTGCAGCAGAGCACTTGTTGTACAGTATCTTAATTTTCTAGAGCACTTTGAACAATCTGTTCAAGCTGTGGCTGAAATGAATGGTGGAAAGTTGAAGAGAAAACTTGCTGCTGGTTTGGCTCAAAATSGTATATAATTTTGTAGAGGTATTGCCTTTTTTTTTTTTTTTTAACTTATCTGCAGGAATGCAGGAGACAATGTGAAACAAGTGAAACTACATGTGTTTTATATATGATTTGCATCAGTTAGACTCAGGTATTCTGACTGAAAGCTGCTCTGTGAGGTTGGGCACTGGGTAAGCTTGTGAGCACATTAGATACAGTTCCAGCTCAATCTCCTTCCATCCCTTCCTGTCCAGATCTTGCATATTAGCCTGTTGCTGGCTCAAAACAAGCTTAAAATTGTACAGCAAAACTCATGTCATGCCTTCTCATTTCTTGAGTGAGGAGAAATTTTTATTTCTTCTTACTTTTTATTAGCAATGCTTTGGGTGGAAGTATTTTCATCAGTAGTATTCAAAGCAGATGGAGTAAGTACATTATGGCAGTTCCTAGTCCCAGTAGATCTATTGAAGTCTATTTAGTTGTTTGACAGGAAAACAGAACACAGGTCTGAAAGACTTTTACCAGAGCACCGGGGTCTTTCATTTTCACATGTGCAAATAAGTTAAACCATTGATTTTGAAATTGGCTTTCTAAAGTGCTTTTCCTTTTGGTTTTGTTAGCTACTTGAACCTCTCTGTATTCAGAAATAAGTTGTACAAAATGTGCTTTTTTTTTCTCCATATTTTTAAAGAGGTTGTTCTCGACAAGATGCTCCTCCATCTCATATTTCTTCCTCCATGGGAAGTCATAGGCAGGTGCGTGGCAGTGAGAATGAACTGCAGTCCCTCCTAAACCTGGGTCTACAAAACAGAAGTAATAAAAATCTGACTGTAACAATTTCCAGTAGGTGTGGGGGTTGTGTGTGAGTTACAGTATCTGTAACCTTTGTTTTGTTAAATAAGCTACATCTTAATTTGTTTTATGCTGATTAGCCCTGTTTACTGGAGTTGGAAGTTACCTTTTGGACCACTTTTTAAGTCTTTAAAGGAATAATTGCCATTCCATTTACCAATGATGGCTCATAGAAATTGAGAATTTTTACACACTATTTACATTTACTATTTTTTGTAACTGAAGGGACCCTGGGCTTTGCAGAGCGCTCGTCTTCCTCCAGCTCAGACACCACAAGCAACCCTGGAAATAGCTGAAGTTTCTCACTTAAGAGAGCAGCAACTGGAATACAGTGCTCGCAGCTTGAGCAGCTCAGTTATCAACTCACACTTTTATTTTCTTTGATGTAAAGAAAGAAGATCCCGTTGAAACATAAGAAAACAGTGAAGTTGTTTCTCCTTACTTCCGTGGAGCAGGGGGGTTACTGAGGAGCTGAGCTTTGCCTATAAACTGCTGGGTTCAAAAGAGAGGTTAGAGCGTGGGGGGGAATCAACTCAGAGAGACTGCTTTGGGAATAAAAGAACGAGCAATTATCCATCTGTGAATGAAGAAAAGGGAAGAATAAACCTGCACTTTCCAAATGCAATCCTTGTCTTTTACCTGAGCCTGCTGCTCTTGATTTTTTTTTTCTTTTCTAATTCATCCTAGAAAACTGAATTCTCTCTGCCAAACACAGCTTTAATTCCCTCACCTTTTCAATATGAAATGATTATGGTTTGATTCTGGGGTTAGTGTTGAAAACAAATGATTGTTTTGGACTCCTGCTTCACATGTGCAATGCCAAGAACGTAGATAAGCTGATAAAAGCTCACCTGCTTCTCCCTGTTCTTCTGCCAAGCCCCTTTAACAAGGCTGGGCACAGCGGCAGAGCAGCCCCCAGCCRCAGAGGCTGGAAGTCTCATGCTCTGGAGTTTGTCAGAGCTCGGAAAGAAAAAAAATGCATCTTTTTGCTCAGTGTATATTAGGGAGATGGAAGATCTAAGCATCTAATTAACTACTTGAGAACTGCAGCTTTGCTGCCAGGCTTGGAAACTGGGATTTGTTTCTAGGCGCTCAGAGGGGCCTCTCCATTTCTCACATGAGTGTGTTAGCAGGTAATGCTGGAAGTCTTGCTAAGCCCAAACACAGGTGTGTCGACTCTTTCAGATACCCAACAGAAACCATTTTGTTTCCGATTCTGTTTCAGTACGGTGCTACAGTGATGAGGGACTGCAGACAGAACAGTTTTTTCCAACTGATAGGTTAGTGCTATTGCTTTCCTGCTGTTCTTTAGAACTCTTTTCTTTGATTTGCTTTCAGTTGTGCTCTGTCAGGAATAATCCTGCATGCAAAGCAGCTCCATATTTCCAAAGCAACACACACRGTTTTCAGTGTGACAGGATTGATCTTCCCCTTTTCTTTCAAGTTCTGAGTGAGAGATGTACGGCTAGAGGCAATTTTAACTAGTTTGTGCAACGTTCCCATCTTGGCCTTATGCTGTCTGGTATGTGATAAATAATACACACATCTCAGCAGAACTGTGGATCTGAAATTCTCGTGGGGGYTTCATCCGTGGATGGTGCTCCGTATCACTTATCAGCTGCTTACTTTCCTTCTGTGCTTTCCAGACGTGCAAGAGCTGGGGCTGTCCTCGTTGGGCCTTTCCCTCCAGCTCCAGCGTTCTCCACTTAGATCCCACTCTTAACTTGCCCAATGCTTCAAAGCTGTTTATGGAAGCTTGCTGCACTCACTTCAGACATCTCCAATGGTTTCTGATAAAGAGATGCTCTCTTTATCTAATGGTTTTCAGCATTGCACGTCTTTCATCCGCATGCAAGTCTGTTATGCTTTGAAGCCCATATATATCTTTGTCTATTTTGTTGTAGCATCTGAAGGCCTTCAGTATTCATCCTTCTATATAAAGCAARCACTCCATTTGTGTTTCTTAAGCTCACTACTCTAAGAAACTTAGACAAACTAGTCCTTTAGGATGAGTAGTGTCTGTAAGAGAATAACAGATATGTAGGCTTCCTTAAATTCATAGGATTCATAAGAGGCCTGAAGAACTYGCATCCATCTGGAAGATCAAAGAAACCTTAAGCAGCTCTTCACTTCAAAGGCACAAAACAAGCCACTGTCCAAAGGTGGTAACTTGGAGAACACTTTCCAAGAGCCTCATGCTGAACTTGGATGCTTTAATGCACTGTAAATCTTGGGCAGATTTTCACTGAACTTTGGTTTAATTGGGGCAGCCTGCTTGCTAGGAGGGATGTTAGAAAGGCAGTGTAAGCAAGAAGTAATCCTTGTTGTCTGTAGAGATGTTCACCATCATCATCTTTTTCTCCCAGCATGCTTGTCCTGAAAAATTGCTAAAGAGAGTAGATCTCAGTTCAGAAAAGACTTGGTTTTAGCACCTCAGTGAGGTTGCAAGTGGGAATATTGAGGCCATAGTTACAACAAACCCAAAGCCTGGTGTCTAGGATGATGAGAAGGGACACTTAAGCTCTTAGCAGAAACGTTTAGGTTTCCTACAGCACAAATGCAGAAGATTCAAGTCTTACTGAGGATTGTAGTTCCATTAACAGTCTTAAAATCTTTCTGCTTTCTGGGGTGCATTTTGATGAACTGGGTTTTTTGGAACTTTGTTTCTACGTATTTGAGCAATGAACCTTATCTGTTCCTATGCAGGGGGGAGCAGGGAAGAGGTTTGTTCTTCCGTGTTTAAAACCAGGAGGGAGGTAAGTGGGTTTTATGCAGAAAGCTTTTGTCAGCACCTGACTACCATGAAATAATATCAGCAACTGATGGAGTAACTCTGGGAACCAATTGTGCTGTGGTAGCAGGAAGGAGAGTGCAAATGCTTAATGCAAAGCCCWGTTTTGAGCAACATAACAGAAAGCGAAGCAGAGCTGTGACGTGGCCTGTGGAAGTAACGTTGGCCTTTGATGACCTGTGAGGCTTCCTCCTACCCCACATAAATGACTGTAAATTGACCAAGACATTCAGTTGATTACTGTGTTGTAGTATCTTTGCAGTTACGTTAATATTTATTGGTACACAGTAATTCCAGTAGGTAAGGATCCACCTGTAAATGTGCAAAGATGAATTTATTACACCTTGAAAAGTGAGAACTATCTTTTTGTATCTTCTTTGATTATACTACCAAGCCATGAAATTATATCACACACTTTAATAAACTTGTAATTTATTTTAAAAAGATTTGAAGATGTTTTCACTGGAAGTGCACCTTACTGATACCAGTCTGATTGTGTGATTTGTATGACTGTCTAAAACCAGTTTGACTTCAACCCACAAAGACAGTGTTAAGGACAATGCTGATACTGTGCTCAAAGGGACAATACCTCATGTATTCATGCCAACATTGTATCTGTCCTGTGCCATGAAGAATAGTTTAAGTGTCACTGTGCCTGAGGCTGTCAAGCAAGCTTTTATTCTTTCCTCCCTTTACAATGACTTCTCATTTTACACACATAAGCATGAAACCCATGTAAAGTAGTCCGGTCTGTTGATTTGCTCATGACATGTGATTAGGGACGGGTTGGACACTTCAGGTAGGTGGCTGCTCGTCATCGTGGCAGAGGAGGTAACGCTTTCTCAGACAGTCAGGCCCAATACAGCTGAATGGGCTGTGGTCTTTCAGCCTTCCATCACAAATTGTGGGGACCGAGCACCTCGTATGGCAGCAGCCACGTGGGTATATTCACAGTGCTCCGCCTGCCAGCGTGCCAGCTAACTTCTCCCATGCTTTCTCCATCCTTGCAGATTTCACCCAGTCGTTAATGATGCTCGCTTCCAGCATGCGTGCCTCGGTGACAGATGGAGGGTCAGCTGGGTTATGTCCTCTAGAGAAAGCAAAACAGACAGGAGCTTCTTAGCATGGAGCCCCAGTACCTTTCATGAGGTCTGAATCTTTGCATTCCGTTTTTCTCCTCTTGCACTACACAAGCCAAGCCAGAAAACCAGAGAAAGGAAGGRCCTGTTTAATCTTCTGTTTTGGACTTCCAAATGAAGTCCTGGGAAAACAAGTTGCAACGTGATACCTAACAGGAGAGGAGAGGCAAACAAGGTGCTAGGGAGAGTACTCTGTGTCAGTAGCTGCTGCCCTCTCTCTTCGGAGCCTGACGGCTGACAGTTCTTGCGAGCAAAGAGGCTGGACTGCTCTATGTGATCATGCTCAATCCAGTACGAACAGTCACAAACAAATGCACAAGGACAACAGGTTAGAGGAGGAGCTTTTTGTCTAACTCTGGCTTCCATGCGATCCATACAAGCCCTGTATTAGGGAAGAMGATTCCTCTTCAACAGTCACGCCCTAACAGTCTGGTATTTAGTTTTGTTTAAATAAACTCCTGCTTATTTGGGCTGTTGCCAGCTGAAGATAGAGCATCCAGCACAAGAGGAAATTTATATCCAAAGAATAGTTCAGTACCTTGAAGCTGTCAGTTACTGTGTACTTACCGGAGATCGAGGTGATGAGCACCTCCCTCAATGGTTATTGCAATTAGTGAAGGACTTAGACTGCTCTTTATCTGGAAAGAGAAGAGACTGTGACAAACTGCAAACAATTTACCAGGCAAAACTGAATACCTGCTCTGAAAATGGGAAGACCAGTGGGGCAGAACTGAGGAAAAGCAAGGGAAAATAGCCTTGGTCTGGTCAATACTGTGTGTGGCTACAGTCATAAGTGGTCAGTCTCAAAAAAACAAAGCCTTTCATTGTGCAAGAAGTCCAGTCATCTTGCCCCAGTACAGGCAGTCTGCACTAACTGCTGTATCACCCGGAGGACTACGGCTCGTGCTGGGTGTCTGGGAGCGCACGTACTTACCCCACCACCAGCCCACGGGTCCAGGTCTCCATTTGAAAAAATGATGTTGCTTGCACTTTTCAGATCTGGAATGCAGAGACGACATCTGAGAGGCCTCTTTCCTGCCTGCTGCCCCAAACTTGCTTAGCTGCTACGACAAACCCAGACRGCAGCAAGAAAGATAGGAGAATAAATTTTTGGCAGGTTATGCATTTCCCATGTCATGATAAAGGACAGACAGAAATGCCTGTGTGCCTGAAGCCAGCCTCTGTTACCTGGTTCCAGCTGCCCCTGCTTCTCTAGCTGGGAGGAGCAACACAAATTTGTGACTCCTGTGCTGGTGTTGTTTTTWTTTTATTTTATTTTATTTTTTTTGGTTTTGTTTGTTTTCAAAAATAAATGAGCCTCAGCAACTTGCTGCATGATGGGAGTGTTAGAGGCTGCTTGCYGTGACTGTAGAGGAAGGCATAGGAGGAGCCTAAAAGAAGAAGGAGATGGGAGAAACCTAAAGCATTTCAGCACTAGAGGAAGGCAGAAGGTGGCAGAATTCAGGGAGAAGACTGGAGAAGGGAGCTGTACTGGGGAACGGGGAAGGACTTGAACCAAACCGGCTTGTTTGGCTCAAGTTGTTCTGCATAGGGGCTGCGGGCTGCCTGAGACYTTCTGCCTGTATTTGGTAGTGAGCTCCCCTTCCTCCCAAAGCACCTCAGGCCCGAGGAAGCACGGGGAGAACGCACAGAGGAGAACCATCGAATAGCTGAGGTAGGAAAGGAAATCATCCGGTTCAATCTCCTCTGCTCAGGCAGGGTCACCTACAGCAGGTTGCCCAAGACCCTCCAAGGTTGCAGACACCCATCTCCCTGGGCAACCTCCTCCAGCGCTCGGTCACCTGCCAAGGGGCCTGCAGCGAACGGAACTCACCTCCTCCCCAGAAGTTTGTCCGCAGCCAGCGCGCCCGCGGACTCACACTCCATTTGCTCTGGCAGTACTTCTCTCTCATGGCCTCCGTGAAGGGCATCTCAGGGAACATATCAGTCACGTTGTTGCTGTTGAAGGTTAAGTTGATCTCGGTGCACACCTGYAAGGTCCAAGAACAGTCAAGGTGGGTGTGATAACGAAGCAGCTGGTAGAGGCCTTGTCGCTCTGAACGCCCTACCTGGTAGTCCCACGCCTCGGCGTCCGCGCCGGTGCCGCAGCCCGTTGGGTCGGCGCAGGGCTGGTACAGCTGGTAGATGTCGTAACACGGCGCCGTGCCGGACGAGTTGTAGAACACTCCTGTCGGGCGGAAACACAGCACAAACCCAGCCTGTCGCTGCGCTGCTGCCACAAAACCCAGCCTGGCCTCAGGGCAATCATGACCGAGACCAACGGGAAGAAGGAACACCATCAGCCTCAAGGGCTGGGATAGAGCTAGAAAGATCTACACCATTTTTTAGGTTATGATCATAATGCTAGGCTGTAGGTGTTAGTGCTGCAAAGTTTTCAGACGGTCTCCGTGCTGTTTGTTTTAATACCCTTTTAGAGTCTCCTTGGTGACAGAGAGGCTCCCAGGGGCGCTCTGCTCTCTGCTCACTCAAAAAAAAGGAGCATCTCTAGCCCTCGGGAGAGCTCCCGTCCCCAGCTCAATCACACGTTCAGGCACAKGCTCGACAGAAGAAACGAGCCACCAGCAAGGGTGTCTTGAATTCTTCAGAACAAACAGGCTTCTCCTATCCCCCGCCGCACCCGCTGGCCAAAAGCCACTGGTGTTTGAATGCATCAAATTAAGCACAAAAGGCTGCCCGTCACAGAGAGAATTCTGTTTGCCTGGTGCTGGGAGAGGGAACGCGGCGTGTGCAGGCTTGCCCGGAGGACGGAGCACCCGACCCGCGCAGTTGCGCAGGGGGCTGCCGGCTCCCGCCGGTGCCACAGCCCGCGGCTCGACGCACAAACCGTGCAAGGACCAGCACCGACGGAGCCGCTCTCAACCCGCTCGCTCCGCTCCTTCGGAAGCGCCACAGACAGTCCCAGCAGGGAGAGGGGCCGCTGCAGCTCCTGAACGTCTGACAGGTCTGCGTGAGCTGGCAGAGCAGCTTCCCCTCTCCCTTCAAGCACAAAACCACAGCTCCTACTGCAGAAGATTGCTCAAGAGATGGTCTGACGGCCTACGAGGCCTGCGGAGAGCCCTGGGGCTGCTCTCGGGGTTTCGGAGGGACGTTGCTTGGCTCGCAGGGCAGCATGGAGAGCCTGGCGTCCGACACGTATCTGGTTAAACTCCTGGAAGGGATCGGCAGCCTTCGCTCTCAGAGCGCGCTGTGCGACGTAACGCTGGAGGCAGAAGGGGTTTGCTTCCCAGCACACAAGGTCATACTAGCATCGGCCAGCAATTACTGCAAAATCCTGTTTGTTGGAAACTTGGCAAGCGCTGGAAGCCCCGACGGTAACGTCCACCTGAAAGCAGTCAGTGCTGCAGGGCTGAGGAACGTTCTCAGCTTCATTTATTCCAACAAACTAGAGCTCTCGCTACAGAATATCGAAGAGACCTTCAAAGCAGCAGAGACCCTGTTYGTTCGGGAAGTGATCAAGCTGTGCTTTCAATTTCTGGAGGGTTGCTTGAATTGCGAGAACTGCATGGACGTCCTCAACATTGCTAAGCGACTCGGGCCAGAAGAGCTGAGACAGAGAGCCATGCGCTATATAGGGCAGCATTACCAACAGGTCCTGTCTGATCCTCAGTGCTTGAAAGAGCTGGACCAAGAGACCCTCTGTGAAGTCCTGGGCAGGACGGACACGGCGGGCTGCAGCGAGCTGGAGCTGTTCAGCGCTGCCGTGAGCTGGCTGCAGCAGGACCGCACGCGGCTGACGGCTGCGCCTGAAATTCTAAGGCACATCCGATTCCCTCTCATTCCTTTGCGGGATCTGCAGAAATACATCYGGGACCTGCCTCTCCTGAGGAGGGATTCAAGCTGCCGCAGGTACCTTCAGGCGGCTCTGAACTACCACTCGCAGCCGTACGCGCAGCCCGTCCTGCAGAGCCGGCACTCGAGCCCGCGCTGCGGCTCCGCCGCGCTGCTCGTCGCCGGCGGCAGGACAGCCGACAACCGCGTGTGCAGAGACATGTGGGCGGCGGATGAGGGCTGCAGCTCCTGGCGCAAGGTTGGGGACCTCTGCGCGCCCCTGTACAACCACTGCGTGGCCGTCATCAACAACTTCTTCTTTGTTATTGGGGGCCAGCATCAGTTTGATCCCACRGGAAAGCAACCGTCAAATGAGGTAAGACACGAGAAACCTTCAGCTGGAAGAATATCCAGTGCAGGGAGAAAGAGAAATGACCTGTAAGTTCCCAGCTCCAACTGGGACTTGCAAGTGCTTCTGGAAGAAGCAAACTTCCCATTTAAGGAACTCATTTTTAAACACTGCAAGTCGGAAATTTCTCCCCACTAGCAGGGAGGGCTGGAGAAAGACTACTAGGAATGTGCAAGGGGGCCATCACTGGCTGGAAAAGGCAATGGGATGAAAAGTCATATTAGGGATGACACAGAGTTGTTTCGCTCGATCACCCTTCATTTCTTAACTTTGCATATTTCTAATAGCTCTGYTCAGCATCTCCATGGTCTCATCCTGCCCCACTGGCAGTGTCATGCATATCTCTAACCTGTGCAAACCCTAGGCCRTGCAGGTTCAGTCGTATTCCACAACCCTCACTCGAGCCACTCCACGAACCTCAGACGGGGAACCGTCCTGCCCTCCCTCACAGAAGAGCAGGGAGCACCAATCCTGTTTCGTAAGAGCACACTGCCCTCCTTAGTACGTACTCAAACACGAGCGGAGACAACAGCATAGACCTCACTGGAACAGCTTTCATGCTAATTCACGTTTGAAATTCAAAGGTATTTCATTAAACAAACGTGATTTGCTTCCTGCTTGCTGCAAGCTGAGCGCACAGCGTGTGACCAGACACAGCAAACCTGCAGGACCAGGACCACAATACCTGAGCTAAGTGAGGACATGTGCAGTGCTTGCAGGGTGCCCACTGGTCAGGGAGATACTGAAAGGACTCCTGCTATACGGCTGGCATTGCATGTTGAACCCGCACATCCACAGGCCAGCAACATCTGCTTCAGGTCAGAGAAAACATTTAAACAGCTCTTGACTCCAGACATGAGCTGCAAAGCTGCTCATGCCTTCTGCTAACCACCACCCTCCTGTTGTGATTGTAGGTTTTCCGATTTGATCCCCGCCACGCGTCCTGGCTGCAGGTCGCCAGCATGCGGCAGAGGCGGACGCGCTTCCAGGCAGCCGTCCTGGGCGAGCGCATCCTTGCCGTGGGGGGCGGCACGCGCCTGGGCAGCCTCACGTGCACCACGGAGCTCTACCAGCCAGCCGAGAACACGTGGGAGCCGGCRGCTCCCTTCCCCGTACCCATTGCTGATCACGCGGGCGCAGTCCACAAGGGAATCCTCTATGTTTCAGGTGATACAGCTAGCAGGGAAGMAACATACTGCCTTCAATGGGGGTTTTTGCATCTTAACATCACAGGCGAAGCCTGAAACTCATCCCACCTCACAGATCTGGTGTCCTGGTCCTGCTGGGTGAGCACGGCCTCACTGCAATCCTGAATGCAGGAGCTCTTTTCTCCTCACGATGCAAGAAGTATCRTCACCTGCTTTCACTCCACACTCCTGCTGCATTCTCAATAGCGGCTTTGCTCTTGCAGTCCCGGCTAAAATCCCAAATCTTTACTAGCTCAAAAGAGAGACTGYTATAGTGTTGAGGCTGGGCTTAAACTCCAGTATCTCTGTGTGAAATTCTGTCTGAATGGAAGGTGTGGGACTAACTCCACTGTACTGCTGCATTAGTACAAAACAAGTGCAATGCAGTCMCTCGGGTGCTGGGCTCCTACAGCTCTCAGCCTATAAGGCACCCTCAGTCTTTACAGGAATCTTTAGTAGATGGTACATTATGCTTAACAATAAAACATGAATACAGTGGTTTATACACTTGCTGTAGGATCTTTAGCTTTTTAAGTACTAATTTGGACTGGAAGCATATTTTTTTAGTTTGCCCTAAGAAAAGCACCGTAGTATTGGAGAACACTGGTTGTGTTACTGCTCCTGCACTTGAAAGAGCTGGGCCATTGCTGTAGGGCCCTCGCTTCTTAAACACATYGAGACCATCTGGGAGCACCCTACTGATCCAGTCTAGGTTCCTCATTTTAATTTAACTGTACAATTGCAATGAAGAGCACTTCTCTAAACTGGACCAAGGTGTCTCCTTCTCTGGAGATACTCATAACGCATCTGGACGCAGTCCTGTGCAATGTGCTCTAGTGCCTAACCCTGCTGTGCAGGCGAGTTGGACTAGATGATCTGCAAAGGCTCCCTGCTTTGACAAAGGCCATAGTACCACAGGCAACTCCTTTAACCTCAGCACACTTCAAATAGTATCAGGGAACATGGACAGAACTGCTGCCAYGCCACATCCCTTCAAGCACACCGTAAATGAGCTTGACTGAATAACACTGTCCCAGAGATATCCTTTCATAGAGGACTTGTACTGAATTTATTCATTTCCCCCTAAACCAGTGTGTTTACTCTGAATGGGATTTGGCCAGCCATGAAAGTCCCAGTGAGCTGTGGCATACGTCCAAACCTCAACTATCACCTTCCTTGTTTGCAAAGAAAAGCTTTTTGTGTTTTGGAATTCAGCAGGCAGGCAACCAAAGGGGCCCTTCTTTCAAACCACAGCGCCTTCCTCCCGCAAAGTTTGCTTTGTTTGTTTTAACGCAACAATGAAATGCTCAGTGATGAACGTCTAACAGGTATGAAGAGCTGCCAATAGCAATGGCAGACTGGCTCCGACTTTCCGAAAAGGCAGATAACTTAACCAAAGTTCTTACTGCTTCCTGGTCACTTCTGAAACACCCAAAGGGCTGGTATAAAAATCTCCTGTAGAAAATTATCTGTGAATGAATTGGGACTGTTTTTTTGTTTTTAATATCCAAGAAGCTCAGGTTTTAAAGCCACCAAACTTCATCAACATCCACCAAAACCTGTTGGCCACTGTCCATTTGTATCAAGAAAGCCATATCAATTCCAAATCTGAACATGTCAAGGCAAAAGAGAATCTAGGTCTTTGGTGTGGCATCTTTTCAAAGCTCCTGAAGGAACAAACCTTCCTCTGCTTCACAGCAATATGTTGTCAGAAACAGTTCCTGAAATCTCTGCTTCTGTTTGCAGAGGGATTGCCGGATGTCTGATGGATTTTCAACACTTGTTATTTTCTTTTAGGGGGCTTCTCTGGAGGTAAAACCTTACGAGAAACTTACAGCTACCTCCATCGCCTCCGACGCTGGGTTGGTAACCGTGCCATGACTTTCGCCCGCTGTGACCATGGGATGGCTGCCGCCGGAGACAGGATCTTCTGCATCGGAGGAAGGACCTTAAATGGAGTAAGGTCATTTGCTCCTGTTCTATCAAAGCTGATCTGGAATGGAATCTCTGCACTGCTAGGTCCTGGCTATCAGGATGATCAATAACTTCATGATTTCTGGTCTCTTAGTGGACAGATGCAGTTCCAAGTCAGGTCATTACACTTAAGAAAACCTCCCTGCCGTTATTGTGTGCAGTAAAAGCTACTCTGTCATCCCACCCTATCTGCTACTCCTATAAAGTCTGTTTAAAGCATCCTCTTTTTAATAAGAAAAACATACAGCCTTCTGCAGCCACAGTCTCCTAATGCATAAAAATTTAAGCGTAAAACTGATCGTGTATGAGCCCAGAACACATTGACTACTTGGTTTTCCCCATGAGAGCTGAGAATGGCCAACTGTCACCAGACAGACAGATGGACAGCCTGCTGTGAGGACACTAGTTTCAACTTTAGCAGGGCCGGGTTCAAGTCCTGTGATGCGAGCCAAGTCTCCTCAAACCTTAGTTTTCTCTCTGAAACGGAGCGGAAAGCACTGTCCAGCCTTTTGGGAAAAGGGCTTGTAAGGAGATGGCTGGTAGAGCCTGTGGTGCTCAGGTGAGGAGACTCATTCCATGAAGCAGAAGCAACTGAGCTTTGAAAGACCATTTCTCAAAGGCAATTCTCATTTGAAAGTACAAAGAATCTTTGTCATGTTCTAGCATGTCCAGCTGAGCTGATTTCAAAGGCAGGATGATAGTGAGGAAGGTGCAGAACACTGTTTACAAAGAAATTTCACATCAAGCCTAACATCAAATTCCTTCAGATGACTCAAAGTCTCTTGCTGTTCACAGTTCGATGAAATATAACACCCTTCAGATGAGCTCCTGCTGACTGCCTTGCTATGGTGAGCAAGCAGAACTTGAGTTATGCCAAATCTGATCTTTCCCATTTCATCTCTCTTCATGTGCACAAGAAGAAATAAGCTCTTTCAGAGCAGTTCCTCAGAGACATTTCAGTCTCTTCTGAGGCTTTGATTGCCAAATCTGGATCACAAACGATGCCCCTTGAGGTCTGCAGTACTCACACTGATTTTGAGGCAGTGGCTGCCTTGGTCATGAAACAAATGAGCTCAACAACAATAATAATAATAATAATAGTCACCTGTGGCATGACATGATGGTTGGTGTCGATCTGATTATTTGCAGGTGGAGGAATGGATTCACGTCAATGAGACGGAATATTATTGTCCAGTAAGCGACCAGTGGACAACACTACTGATGTCCCCATTCAACTGCTGCCAGTTCAGCATCACAGCCCACGAGTCTACACTCTACCTTGTTGGGGGTGGCTCACTGCAGCGCATGCAGAAGGAAGACAGTGTTTTCTTGTATAACACTGTCGGGCAGGTATGGAAGAAAGCCAGCTCCCTGCCTAAAGCTCTGGTTGACCATGCCTCTTGCATGATTAAACTGCCCCGAGGGAACGAAGCCGACAAGGACAGCAGAAGCACAAAGAGCTCGCCCACTGGCAGGAGGAGGAAGGCTACTCTCAGCTTGTTCCTCGCAGACAAACAGGAGGCCCACTCCGCTTCCAAGAAGTAGGATACGAATATGCGAAGTGGCCCTGACAGTGTTTGCCAAGCTCTCTTAAGTATTTTAAGAGCTCTTAAGTATATTAACAACTCTACCAGTTTATAGTCTAAACCTTAATCTGCAATTTGGAACTGGTACATTCCTTAGTGTTATCCTTGAGATAAGTGCAGTTTGTAAGAAAGAAAGTGAGTTCCCAGATTTATTAAGTTGGGCCAAAACCCTTATTATTTTAGTAATAATAATAATAGCCTTAAAATTTAACTTTTGTCATTCATATCTTGTTTTTCCTGAACAAACAATGATGATATGTAGAATTTATTTTTAAGGAGCAACATGACAGCTTTTAATCAAGGAAATAATTTTAAATAACTCAAATTCAATCTGGAATATTTTCCTTAAAAACAGTGCTGGCTGATAGTTAAGTATTCACACAGATACACATACAAGGCATTTATAACTGTGTTGCTGCTGGATTGCGATTGCAGGGCACTAGGATGACAATCTTGTCTGCAACATGTGGACCAGAGAACACCATTCAGTGAACCCGTGACTGCCTGAGCTAAAGCATGGGTGAACTTCTAAAAGGAAATGAAGTACCTTAAAGAGTCCGTGTCTTACGGACAGTCAACAGCCTGAGGGGATGCAGGGGTTAAAAAAAATCTCACGAAAATAAGATTGGAGAGGTGAGAGAATAAATTCACTCCTAATGAAATGATGAGCATGCAATAAACCAATGCAAAATATCCTAGTACAAAATGGAACTCTTATCAGCTCCCACGATTTATAACCTGTATGAAAATTGAACTGCTCTACTTAGAGATGCTCTGGGAAATAGGGTTTTAAATAAAGGAGCAATGTGGTAGGATTAACTCACCAACAAGAGCTGCCAGGCCTTGAACTGGGTCTGCGTGGGTGAGGATTTGCTCACAACCAACCTGGATGAAACACACGACAGGTGAGTTGCACACAGGTAATGTAAAAGATGCACAGGCTGCAGTGGGTTAACAGGCCTGGTTAACTGGGGTTCAGGATCTAAGTTGGCATCTTTCAAAAAAAGCTGACTACAAAGAAATTTTTGTAACCCTCCAAGAACCAAGCTGCTTTCCCCCCCTGGGATATCTCCTATTCTCTTGAAAGTACATAGGCTTTTTGTATCAGTCTACATATCAGGAGATGTTTCTCTACATTTTCTTCTGGGAATTTTTATTCATCTGCCTGGCCAATGAACAAAAAGAAGTCAAATTTTTAAGACTTCCAATCCCAATAGCAAAAATAACCCATGTCTATGAAGGTGTGTAGAGGTGGACTACAACAAAACTGTATTTTGAGAAGCTGCAGAAGCTTCTGCAGAAGCTGCAGGTTTTTAGTTTTTAAAAGCCCAAAACCATCACGCTAGCAGAGGCCTTCATATCCTAAGTAAAAGCAGAGCATGGTAGGAATGGGCTCAGCCAGATCTCCAAAATGAGCTTAATGGCAGTAAATTTTGAACAGAGTAGTTCAAAACAAGTATAGATTTGCTGTCAGAGTGAAAGGGCTGTAACATCCACTGCGTCCTCTTCCAGGCACCATCATCTAATGCATTCAGGTCATGGCAGTGAATGACCATAGCTTCAGAAATTGGGATTCTCACCAGTAGCAAGTACTCACCTTCACTGGATTAGCAGGGAGAGAACCCATGAAGTCGGTTTTGTACGGGTAATCCAACATGGCCATCATGGTGAAGGCATTTCTAGCAAACCCAAAAAGCTGGTAAATATCTTCCTTGCTGGAAATCTTATTGCATGTGGCCATTTTGCTGCTGATTTTATCATAAGCTGCAGAGCAAAGAAAAACAAAACACACAAACTTCAATAGAGTAAAATAATACTAGACTTCAGCATCCAGTTTCACTCAGGAGTAATGAGCTGCTATAAAACCAAGATGAGGTTTCTGAAGGGAAGGATATGTTACCTCTGAATTTACACAAATATGGACATTAAGCTACGCAGGGAGGCTATGCCTGAATAACCCTGCACTGGCCCAGATCCAGCCTTCTGCTTCCTTGCTGAGTCACAGAAACTGCTCTGGAGAGCTCCAGAGGGAAGAAACAGAGTCCAAGACACCGGCAGTCCAGCCTGATGCAGAGGGAAGAACAGCTAAACACAAACGTGTCATCCCTGCTGCCCTCTTGGTCAGTGTTTTCCTTTCTCCTTCAAACACTACCGACTCCCACGAGGGAGCTGCTGTGCTCTGCAGTGCAAGGCTCGGATTCCTTAGCACAGCCAGTGAGACAGTCTCATTAGCTAAGCTGTTAACACAGGCGGACAGGCTACAAGTCACAAAAATCCCAGTGGAATTTACAGCTTAGAAGAACTGTCAAAAAAACAAACACACAAACAAACAAACAAACACACACCTCCTCAGCAGCTATGTACTTATGCAGCAAGTTCTGCAGAATTGCCAAGTTTGGATAATCCTGGCACTCACAAGGTCACTAAGGACTTTCCTGTCACCTTTCCACTTGGAGGTTTGCCTCCAGACTTCAATGTTAAGCAGAAATGTCAGCTGGAGTCTGGAGAAGTAACTTTAAAACGATTCCTTCAAGAGATACTCCACCTATTTCAGTTTTTCTGTTGGAGAATACTGCTCCTGTCTTCTTTCTCCATACTCCCTGGTCATAACTCCTGTCTGTCCCCAACTTTAAAAGGTAGCCCACTAGAACCTAAATATCTTCAATTGGACACCCAAGGCCTGGAATCTGCCTCTGGATATTGATAATAGCTTGAGAGGTTAAACCTTAGATTTACCTTACCATAGCCAACCAGCTACAGAAAGTTGGTCTCACAGAGATTTGGTACCTCGGAAATTTAAAGCTTTGCTTTTGGTTCACAGCAGAAGATGTCTCAGAAAGGCATTCTGGACCCTCTCTGAGCAATTCCTGCACCAGTCATGCAATGAGTCAGGAAAGCAGAGGAGGAACAATCACCACCTCTGATGTGCACTAGCACAAGATCAAGCCGAGGCTTGAAGCTGCTCTCCAAAAAAAAACCACTAACCCATCACAGCTGCTCCAAGACCTTAAGACCTTGCAGGACTGCCAGGAAGAACTACATCAGGTCCTAATGTCAGGCCTGACCTGAGACACACTGCAGAGATATTCATCAGTCTCTGGGCTTGGCATAGCCTAGCCTTGACTTAACCTAACTGTCCAAGGCTGGGATGAAGGAGACTGTGATGGTTGCTACAAGGCCCAGATTGCCTGGCAGATACTTGTCAGATATGAGCAGTAAGCGGGGCCACACTGTTGCCATTCCCATCTCAACTGTTTTGAGCATTGTGGGTGCAGAGGACGCGTATTTGGTAAAATACTAGGTTCTATCAGCATCAAAATGCAGGTGTGATTAAACTTTAAGCTGGTTACACAGTCTAAGTCCACACAGAGGCTTTCACTTTGATGTCCGCCACTAATTTTAATGCTACTGAAACCATTCCTTAACTCAAAAATAAGTCATGTGAGCAGAAATATGAGGTCAAGTAAGCATTTGCATTGATTAGCTGAACCAATTTAAGATGTAACTGAAGTAAAACTGACTCAACGCTTTTTCCACATCCCCAGTAACACCTCCTGCCCAGCTGCACTTGTGAAGGTGTCCGTCCTTACCTCCACTCAGCGACAGATCCTTGATTTGCTGGAAGGCTTTACGGACAGCTGTGACACAGTTTGGGTCAGACTTCCGAAAATCCTGAAGGGACAGGAAAAAGGCAGGATGTTACGGCTGCACAGAGAATACCTGTGAGAGCTGCATGACAGTGCAGGTGACACTGGACACTGCAGGGGCTGACTGGCCCTCTGGGACAAGAGTAACACCCATGTCTCCAGGATCAGTGACACCAGCATTTCTGCCTTGTCCTCCAAATGATCAGCATGCCCAAGCACAGGCTGAAAGTTTACTGGGGCTTCCACTGAGATGCAAACCCCTTTCTGGATGGCCTTAAAGACCTTCACCAACTCACGGCTCTAATTTGAGCACAAGGACAAACCAGCCTGGGCGAGAGGAGCAGTTCCTGCCCTGGCTGCAGTGACTGCCCAGCTCCCTGCCTGGCACATGAAGGGACCAGCACTCATTTCAGTTTTTCTCAGCACATCACCATAAACCTGACAGCAGGTTCAGCTGAGCCATTGCAGGAGCAGTGGGAAGCCCTACAGCACGGAAAGCCATCGCTGTTTGGTAACCAGAGCACCTTGGTCTTTGGAATCACATTTAATTCAGGTATCTAAGCTGATCTGAAGCTGATGGCATGGACGGGCCCTGTAGTGGGAAGCGAGCTGAAAGCATCTCTGTGGCTGCGCGTTCACACAAGCGCCCAGCTGCAAGGAAAGCAGTTGGCACATACAGCCTGGTCTTAAGCAAACTGTATGCAAAATTCTTTCTGCCTTTTGCTCACTTCCTCCATAAGCTCTACGTTTAGGAAACGTCCTGGAAATCCTCAGTAAAAGGTCACAGGGAAAGTTGTTTGCAACCACGTGCTCTGCCTGGTGGAAAGAGAGGAAGAGAGAGCTCTTGCAGTGACTCATGAGAGGTTTGTGCCCTGATTAGTACTCAGGCTCTCAGGAGCTTTCTCTCGCCACGAGAAGCAATTGAATTCCTCTCTCCAAATGCACACATTGCTGTTACACACGCACTCGAAGGCGAAAGGAGTAATTTTCAAAACAACACAAAGTGCTTGCTCAGAATCTCAGTGCAGAGATCTGTTTACTATTGTGATGATCAGCGCTTTCTATAGGGAATTTGCTTCATCCATGGAAAAATTCTTACTGCTGGGTCTGCTAGGTAATTAAGTGATTTTACATATTTAACTTAAAAATAAATAATTTTAAGGCGAGTTGTCTTGTATTCTCTTTTATGCGTAAAGTTCTGCCTTACTACTGAGTTTGTCATTTGCACATTATATTTTCTTCCTTTTGTGTTCCAGTGATGCTGTCTCTGATTTAAGTCCCTGCATTCAAATAAGGTTTTCATACACTTAACAAGGGCAAAAAAGACCTCTTTCAAAAATGGGTATTGCATGTAAAGCCATCAATGTCACCCACATCTAGAAACTCGCATTGCGAGACACCTAAAACAGACTTCACAAGTTTCAGGACTACCAGGTAGGCTCTTTCTGGCTTTGTAAACTAAGTGTAATTCAGTTCTCACCAATACCACCTTGTCAAGGGTTCTGATGCTCCCAGAAAGTAAAGGCCACATTTAAATTTGGGTGTTAAGTGATCTCAGGGCATCTCGTGTAACCTCAGTCTGTGAAAGCAGACTGACAAGCTTGTCAGTGAAACACAGGCATTTGGGGACTAAGGAGCTGCTGTGAAATATTGTTAGCAATGTGAAACACAGCATTTTTGGTGAGGATTTGAAGAGTAACTTGCTCAAAAGAGGTCAACCAAATATGATAGAAGACTCAGGTTTGAATTTGGCCAAGTCACTAGTAATGGGAAAGCAAATCTTTAATTGTTCTAAAGATGCTGAAATTCAGTTCTGATATTCATAGACCCTGTGCTGCCTACAGGCAAGGTAGTGCTTAATCATCCCATCTGCAGCCGCTTCTTTTCCTTGCAGGTCCTCGTTTAACTGCATCCCCCACTCAGCATTGATGCTGCCAAAATTGCTGTCTGCTTAAAGATGAGGAAAAGGAGAAAACCAAAGCGTTGCCTTCATCAAGAAAGAAAAGTACTGTACCTCAAAAGTACTGCACCTCAAAAGAACAGTTACTTACTGCAGTTACATCTCTAAAGAACTGAGCAGGGTCTCCAAGCCCAGCCACGGACAACACAGGAGCACTGGCAGCTAATGCTCCAGCCACGATGTTTGGATATTTCATCCTCATGTAAGCACTCAACATTCCTCCATAGCTGCACCAGGAGAGAGAAGACAGAGTTACTTCCTTCAACAGACAGTTTACACCATATTAATTCAGACTAGCATTCACAGGATCACTTAACCATGGCAAAAAAAAAGAGTTTATGGAAGTTTATATACTCCATGAAGATACTCAAATGTGTAGTGCACACTATTTGCTAACTGACCATTTTCCCAAACACTCAAGCCAGTTTTGGTGAAAACATAGCACACTGATTTGCTTCTGCAGCCATATGAAAATCTTGCCTCAATATTTTAACACTGCATTATCCTGACAATTTCCTGATAGCTTCAGTGCAGAACTCAATTTGAGGTCTAAGTAAAGCTGCTCCTGTTTAGAGGAGGAAGGAAGCACCTTTTGCTTTTAAAATGTTTTAAAATGGATTAAAAAACTTTTTAACTTCTCAGCAGAGGATGTCCCTGAATACTACAGAATGTGTCCTAGGGTTGCACACTGGGAGGTATTCCCCCTTGGCTGTATAGAAGATTAGCTTTGACATAAGGAAGACATCATCAAATATTGCAACAACTCTCAAAGCCATCTTGATAGCTTGAGCGTCAGGGTCGCAGCTGTGCACGCAGAGCAAACATTGCTAGATAAACTCAAGGTCTCAGAAGCGACCCAGACGCAAGGTTTCGAGGAGTTATTCTAAGGCCACTCCAGGGGATGGCAAATTGACTCCAACATATGGGTAACATCCTCATGACCGACTCCAAAGTCCTCAGGCACAGTTTAGAGGTATTCAAGTTTCCCTCCTTACCACACTAAATGGGTCGGAAAAACTACCACAATTTCCCACATTACCCACAAGTAAAACAATATGCTTCCCTAACCCTGCTTTTGGAAACCCTTTAGCTGAAACCAGCTGAAATTTGAGTTCAAATGATTCACTTGGCAAAGTAATAAGCAACTGAAGAGATTTTTCCCTGGAGAAAAAATGTGCATTTCCTACTCTGCCGTATTTCAGTATTCTTCGCTTCAGTATTCAGTGCTCTTCAGACCTGCTACAGATTAAAAGTCTGCTCCAGCACAAAGAGCTGCAGCAGCCTCCAGCACGCAGCCCAGGTGAGATCCAGATCTCACAGAATCGTCTCCCATTTCCCTGCCTCTGGACACACTCAACTCCCAGCCTCTTTCGCACTGGTTCCTGCCATAATATTCACAATGCGAAGACATTGAGAGCAACCACCGCTCCGCAGCGAGGGACAGACAGTGCTAGGTCACGTTCAGTCACCATGACAGCAAACTGGATGCGTGCTGGTAAGTTACTGGTCAAATGCTTCATAGCTCACTGCAGCCCAGTTAGAAGCCCTGCACTTGGTGGTAACGTCCTAAGGGGATGAGCTTCTTCTAGACGTCTTGAAGAGCCATTCAAGAGACGGGGATATCTGATCAACAAGACTCTGAATGCAGCTCCTGTGGGAAAGGACTTCTGCTAGGAAGCCAGGAGCAAGTAGGCAGCAGAATTATGTAGAAACCTACAATGAAAATATTTCAAGATTGTGCTTAATATAAAGCTGATGCCCCTAAGGAGAACACTTTTACCAGTATTAGTTAGTTTTCTGCATATTCAGTGTAAAATATCGTAATCCTGCAGGAGTCATTTCCAATCTTTTGCAGCTCTGGCTGACTCATACACATAAGATGTCTAGAAATATCCAGTCGCAGAACCACAGAACGGTTGAGGTTGGAAGAGACCTCTAGAGATCATCTAGTCCACCCCTCTGCTCAAACAGAGGCACCTAGATCATGTTGTACAGGGTCGCATCCAGGCAAATTTTGAAGATCTCCAAACGTAAAGAGGATGGGGTCAAAATTTTCTTGGTGGTGGCCAGTGACATGGCAAGGGGTAAATTGAAATACAGGCAGTTCCATCTCCACATGAGGAAGAACTTCTTTCCTGTGAGGGTGACAGAGCCCTGGAACAGGCTGCCCAGGGAGGTTGTGGGGTCACTGATGCTTCTCCAACTTGAGCATGAGCTGATAGGACATGTAGACCCAGTGAGTTGAGACATATTCCTTTTAATTGTCCTCTTCAGCAGCTGTCTTAGCAAACAAGAAAGACTCTGAAAAACTTCAGTAAGACAACTTTGCAAGGGAAGAGCCCTGCAGCAGATTGCTCAGCATAGGTGTGTTTTCCTAAATCACCCTGTTTATGTCAGAGGCTACCTGGTTAAGCCTTTGTAGAGCTTGGGCAAACAAGCTGATTTAAAAAGAGCAAGTCTCAGGATCTGCTGACAGAATAAGGAATGCTAGAGATCAGTAAGGCAGAAGTCCAGTTGGTTTTTTTCAGTAAAAAGGAAGAAGAGTGAAGAAGGGAAAAACCCTAGTACTGATGGATACCATGGGTTTGGCCCATCTGGCTCTCTCCAAAACTATAAAATTTATCACCCTAGCCTGGCTTCTCTCCCATGCCTGCTGCATACAACCAGCTGACAGTGACATAGCTAAGTTCAGATGACACAGTCTGTTCTGATGCAAGGCAATGGGACTGCATGTCCTGCATCCACTTTGCCATGTATTTGGTTGGAAAAAGCAGTGAGCAAGATTCGGGAGGGCAAGATTTGGGAGGGCTGACTAGACCTTGGGATAAGATCTTATGAGCTCAGGCATTAGCAAATCTGCTGGCTTTAGAATAGCCTAGAGCTACTGAGCGCTTTACAGCTTACTTCAGGGCCAAAAGGACTGATGAGATTTTGGCTGGGAAAGGCTATAGATAAGGGAAGGAGCACACAAAACCCTTACCTGCCTCCAAAGGCAATAACAGGGCAGTCAGTGGCACCGTACTGCTCTTTGAGCTCCGTAATTAGCACTGCATAGTCAGCCAGGGCTTGTTCCACCGTGAGCAGACCAGTCCTCTGCGGCTGGGTTGACTCGAGGCCAAATGGAAGAGACTTCCCATAGTACCTCTGAAAGGAAAGAGGAAGGTGCAGAAATACTGGTGTTGGGCGTGGGTCTTTCCTCACCTCACTCGCTGCAGTCAAGCCTGCCCACGATAGTCAAAGCTGGCCCCTCTGAGAAGCAAGTGACTGTGAATAACATCACCTGCACCATGCGATGTGATCACTGGTGCACAAATGGGTAATGACAATAGAGTACTTAGCAAGCTCTAAATTGTTCTTAATTAAGGAAGTGCCTTTTTTCCTGCCTATGATAAAACACAGATCTTCATTCTTCCTGTAGAGGATGTACAACCTGTGAGGAGTGCTGCTGGGTGCATGCATCTGTTACCTGAAATCTCAACTAGAAAGAGGGAGGGAACAGCATAGTGTCTTTATCCACAGGTTGGGGGATAACAGACTTGCTAGGGAGGTACGCTTAGCCAAAGGTTGGTTTGAGGCTTTGCAGGGCAGAGACAATAAATGTTATCCAAAAAAAATAACTGCAGTCCAGTGTGGAGGTCAAGGTGAGCACGAACTACTCACAAAAATACTGCTCCAAAGCAAAAAAACATGGCAAAAGTTTAGTTGAGAAAAACAGTCTGCTTCCTGGATTGCTGGTAGGCATATTAAAAGGAAAAAAAGAATTCAGGTGCCATGGTCGAGCCAGAGGATAGGACAAGAATCTATAGCGTGTAAAACGGCTGAAATACTCACATGCTCAGCAAAAATCACTAGTGCTTGTTGTTCTTCTGCCAATTCAAATATGAAGTCGGAGTTCTGAGCGAAAGTCCAGATGTCACCTTCATTGCCAGTGTAAAAAAAGATGGGTCCAAATCCTTTGTTCCAGAATTTTGCTGCATGAGACAGTTGGCAGAAGCAAGTGAAAGAAATGGTGAATAAAACAAATAAACAAGAAAACTGTTGGAGAATGAAACCACTTTTACTTTTGCTGAGTGGGTAGGAGCTTAATGAGCTTCAACATGATGAACTGGCCGAACGTTTCATTGAGAACAGTAGTGGGGAATACAGAGTGAGAAGGGCAAACTAAAGCACATCACTGATTTAAGGAGGAGTAAATAAGAGCTTTACTCAGGTCAGTATACAGTCTAGAACTACTGCTTCTGTCTGAAAATCCTTAAGATCTCAATTCTGCAAGGCATTTGGAAGAGCTGCCTTTTATATAAAAGAATTTTTCCGTTTATATAGATCGTTTCAGTCCAAATCACTCCTACTTTCACATTTTTGTTTTCCTCCCCACAAAACGAACATTAGGGAATTGCCTGCCCCTTTCTGCTCTTATTCTGCTGAATTCTGCTGTATCCTGCTCTTATTGTGCTGAATAATATACAACCAAGCCACAAGTCAGATACGTTTAAACCACTCCCTCTGTCTGTAACTGAAGATTGAGGCTGGTGGGACAATGTGAAGGCTGACAGCAAAACGTGTTTATGTAACTAACAGTATCTTTAATGCCCGCTTACCTTAACATATCTGATTTTAATATAGTCTTAAAAAGTACAGGTTTAAGGAAAGATAATAAATAGCTTTTTTCAACAATATATCTCAAACTTTGTTGAGCGTTGACTTCAACACGTTGTCCCATCATCACCCATCAGGTAGTAACAGGGCTGTCCTGAAGGATGTCACCACGTTCTCCTACGTGAGGCTCTTAGCTTAACAGAAGTGCCAGACTGTGACTCCTGGCATTCTCCAGGTAGACTTGCCAAATAAGAGCCAGCTTGAAATGCTTTGTTAGTGCAACTACTGATTTGGGGGAGGTTTCTAAACCATGAGGCTGACTCTGGGTTGCATTTGCTTTGGGAATCAGGTATGGAATGGAAATGCTGTCTTTACTCTGGCATTTCTTCCCACGTGCTTCATAGCTCATGGCATAAGCAATCATTCACGTGATCCAAAAACAAAGAAGCTGCTCAAAAATATATCTGTTTTTAGATTGAAATCTTGGAAAACTCCCAGCTATTCTCAAGCTTGTCAGCTGGTTTGTTGTGAAACACCAGTTTCCTTTGAAGTTACTCTGATTACCCGAAACCAGTAAAAAAAAAAGGGGCATTTTGACTAAGGAACTGTTTGTAAACCACCAGAACTTCAGTGTTAAAGCTTGCTTGAAGCATTAATTCACAGATCCAGGCCAGACATGCAAATGTTAACGTTTAAAATAAGTTATCCAATGCTTTAAACCAGGCAATCCCCAAGTTCTGCTCAGAGAGGGCCACTTAATGCGCGAAACGGCAACCTCGGGGGTGCTGTGAGCAGTCACCTCTGTGACAGCATCTTTGTGGTGGGATTAAACCCATTAAACACACCCTTGGGGAGAAAGCAGAGCTCCGTGGCTCGTGGTCTGAGCAAGGGACAGAATAACGGGGTGAGCTGGACGCCAAAGCCCGTTGGAGAAGCAGCAGCCGCATCTGCTTGGGGATGGTGTCCGAGCTCGGCCCCGGCTCCCACACCACAACCCTGGTGCCTGCAGACCTGGGACACGCGGCGTTGGAGAGCGGCTGACACTGCCTGGTGAAACCTCCGCCGTTTTAGACACACGCTGTGCCACGAAGCCTCCTCTCTCGCCGCTGCACGGAAGATAACTCGCTATTCAGCCAGAAACACAGACACGACTGGCCCCCAGCCTGGAAGCTCCCTCAGTACCCTGCACAGTTTACGCTAAATAAAGTTTTTGGGTTGTAAATACTGCAGAACAACCACTCGCCACCACGCTTAGTGCAACATACGGGGCTCTACCTGCCTTTCCTGTTGCACTTGCTGAACTAAGGACCTGAAGAGGAAGAGAGGGGACGGTGAGGTGAAGGCAGAGGTGAAGGACGCGGTGCCTGGACTCCACTAAGCCGGAGCTCATTGAGCACCATGGGGAGAAGCTCTTTTGCACAGCACAATCATTAAAGCTTAAAACAGAGAGCACAGAGGCCGGCCCAGCCAGGGCCGCGGCGGGGCAGGGGCAGCCCGGGGGCGGGACGCAGCCCCGGGACCCACCTGAGACCAGGTACCGCTGCTGGAAGGTCTCGTTGCCGAAGCGCTGGAAGCTGAAGTGGTCCCGCACCTGCGGGAAGAGCCGCTCCTCCAGGCCTGGCCCCGCCGCGCGGGCGGCTGGAGCGCGGCGGCGCCGTCAGAGCGGGGCCCGGCCCGGTCATGGCGGGTGCCCCAGCCGCCCCCTGCCCCCCCCCCGGTCCCGCACCCACCGGGGGCGCCGCGGCCCGGCAGCAGCAGCACGAGCAGCAGCAGGGCCGGCGGCAGGCGCGTTTCCATGGCAACCGGGCAGCGCGTCCCGCGCGGCCGCTCCCGCGTGGGAACACAGCGGCACAGGCATTCACGTGACCCCCCCCTCGGGGATCACGTGACCTTTCCCCCTACGTGAATCTAGCGGGCGCCATTTCTACCGAGGCGCCGCCATGTTGCCTAGCGGGGCATTCCCCAGGTCGCGCGTTCCTCCCGGGCCTGGGCGGGAAGCGAGCGGCCTCCTGGGGCAGGGGGAGCCGGCACCTGGGGCAGGGCCGGAGCCCGGGCATCCACGGGGCTGCGGACAGCGGGGCAGGGCGATGAGCCTGGGTGGCAGTTTATTAGCTCCACAGAGTGGCCTTGGCAGGTATCCCAAAGGTCTGCTGCTCTGGGAAGAAAGAGGAAGGTGGGGAAAAACGGGTGGCAAATCAGCAGGGATAGATGTACACTCGGCAGGGGCTGGGATCTCGCTAGAGCGTGTTACGGTAAACACTGTGCTAATGTTCAGTGACAAAGAAAAGCCTGATCTCAGTGCCAAGGGAAGTGGGAAGGCTACGTGAAAATAGCAATGGGGCATCTACTAGAGTTTGTCAGCCTTACAAAATACCTGTTGTTTAAGACATAAGTTTATGTCTTAGCTAGGGCTTTCCAAAGATGAGGAGCGCTGTTACGGGAAGAAGACCTCAATGACGCAGTTGTCGGTGGGCAGCTGTGGAGCCTTCCTCTCTGCTGTCACCATCAGCAGCCACCTAGTAGAACCAAGGGTGCAAGATCCGTCCGATTCAGGTAGTCACAAGATAAGAAACAAGCCTCAAGTTGGATCTGGCCTCTCCTGGTGAAATGAAATGGGAGCACAAGGTCAGATGCTGAGTGAATAGATGAGGAGAGAGAAAAAGGCTTTGACCAGAGCTCCTCTGAGCCTGAACTCACGCTCAAGTTCCTGCTCTGAGCAGGTACAAAGAGATGCTGGCAATTTATCACCTGAAGCTGAATAAAATTTATCCCTAAAAGACTGAATTGGAAAGTTTTCTTAATGTGTAAGGACTTAGAGTGTTACGTTTTCTTTATAGACTTAATAGAGTGCAAATATACTGAGATTTCTTCTGAGTGATGTTTTGGTTATTGTACTAACTTTCTATATTCTGGGGTTTGTGCTTTCAATAAAATTTTGTTTTAGTTAAGACCTTGATATCTTATATTTCTTTGAGATGCTGGCTTGGTGTCAGCACTCCTGAGCGTGTTGATGTCTGGAAAGGATGGGGTAAAGCGATCTTCTCCCCACCTCCTCAAAGAAGAGAGGGCTGGAATGTGGGACATCCTTCAGATTCATAAGAAACTGGATTTCTATTCAGCTTGTTTAAAATGTGAATTCCTAGATGAAATAATAATAATAATACAAATCAAAAGTTTACGTGTTAGTTAGAAGTTATTTGCTTTCACAGTGGACAGAAAGGGCTGGACTGGGTTTTTGCAGTGCTTTCTGTGTGGCTCAGGGTGAAGACTGTGTTGCACACAGCTGGATTACGACCTTATTTTTAGACTACTGCTTATCTAAATTCTGTTCCAAAGAGATTTGCAGAGTTAAGCTACAAGTAATGCCTGGGGAAGTGTGTAATCCAGGGCTTTAGAGGAAGAAGAAAGGAATCGTATTCTAGGCTAAGCTTTATGAAGAGTTTAGGAAAATCTGTGATGAGAAGCAAAGATGTTAGTCCTGAGGTGATGAAAATGCTTTTTATTTTCACTAAGGCCTTTTACAGAATAATGTGTGTACTCTTAGGGTGTTCAGAAATGAAATACTTGCTTTCCAAAGTGTTTCAAATTCAAGAAAGATAAAGACATCATCCATTTTTGTTCCTCTCCAGTCAATAATACCAAACCTATTCACAGACACCAAGCTGTGTTCGTGCAGGCCCTGCTGCAGTTCCCTCCCATGTGCTCCTCTAACTGCTCGTTGGTGACAGTGCAGAAGAGCATCAGTGCTGACTTCAAGCAGTCTTGCTAAGAAGGACACACGGTGTATTTAGAGACTGCTTCCCCCTGCCCTCCTTTCAGTTCACATCCTGAGGGTGCTATATGGGATGTGAAATGTGGTGCTTGGGCATGTGGAACAAGTGTGAGTGTGTGTGCGGCGGGGGAAGAACAAGAGAAAGGGGTTGGGGATTCAGGACGGGGGTCTCGAGCACTGGTCTGTTTGCTGCAAAGGCCGGGAAGGCAGTGGAGGGGGGAAGCTGGCCCCATGATTGCAGAAGACATTGCAATGAGGCCAGAGTTGCTTGACTAATTTGGTCCATATGCAGGTTGGAATGAGAAGGGTCGGGAGAGATGCCCATTCCCACTAGGTGCTTGTTCTGTTCCCTTCTGTGCAGAGCTTTGTGCTGCTGGGCAGAGAGCTGAACCCTCTGAAAAATAATTTCCCTTTTTCTCCTGATGAATCAATTTTCTGGGGGATTGGAGTTGGGATCTTCCTCACAACACAGTCTGTACGAAGGCTGGTGCCAGCAAGGGGAGAGGAGAGAAGCAGCTGACGTGGTGGGGATAGGGCCGTGCTTCCCAGCGGTGCCTGGATTGCTCCTGGATTAGAGAAACAGCACAGGCCAGGAAAAGGCTGCGAGGCCGACGTGCGAGAGCCCTTACGGGACCACTAAGGGTGAGGGAGGCGGCCTTGGAGTGCAGTGGATGATGCGATGGAGAGGGCCTCCTAGCAGAGATCCTGAGGCCTGGGCCTCCAGCAGCTCCTGGCTCCCTGCGGGGAGGACACCGTTTGCTCACGTCCTCCCCCAATCCTGCAGGCTCTCTTGTTTTGTCATGTCTTACAGCCAGCCTAAGCCACCTGCGGCCTGCTGGTCAGCACAGGAGAGCTCTGGTCTTGCCCTCTGCTGCTCCTGTGCCCCTTGTAAAGCACTGGGGGAGGAAGGGGCCTTCCTGGGGCCGTGTTAGCTGCTGCTTTGAGTGGAGTCCAGTGATGTGGCAATGGAGGTAAGAGACTGGGCCCCTGAGAAGTGCAACAAGCCGGGAGCCCCGCGGCAGGCTGTGCTGATTAGCCTTGGAGGCCAAAGGCTATGAATAGTTTGTGCCATCTGGGTAGTGCAGTGCTAACGTCAGCTAATGTGCCGGCCTGTCAGAGCAGAACGTGCCCGGCCTGGCCAAAGCGGTATTACCGCACTGGCCGCCTGATAAGACGCTTAAGGAGGTCAGGTTTAGTAGAGCAGTGACCTTTGCGAGGCTGCTAGCTGAGCAACGATGTGACTTGATGGGCTTTCAACCAGGGGAGCAAGGTGCCTCAAGAGAACTGAGCGACTGGACCACACGGAGCTTTCCCTGGGCGTGAAAATGGGAAGAAATAATGGTAAAGGGAGGCTCTCCAGGGCAGTGTTTTCACTGCTGCAGCCAGTCCTGCAGCTCTGCTGCCCTCTTCCTGCCACGCGAGCCAGTGAGCAGGCTGAGGGAGAGCTGCCTTGCTTCTAGGTGTGGAGATACCTGTGCATCCCACCACAGCTTCTGGGCATGGCTTTGGTGGGCAGGAGCCCCCAGCCCACACGCTGACTGTGCCTGGCCTACTCCAACCCTTCTTTGGCCAAGGCTGCTGTAGCTTGAAGCCAGACACTGTGCCATGAGGTTTCCTGCCTTTGTCACCTTATCACCAGTAGCCCTGCTGACCACATAGCTGAGCTCTGACTTTTATTTCTGTTAGTTCGGTGGTTTAGGTTGGTTGTTGCTGTCCCTGGTGACACATGGGAGGGAGCCTGGGCTCTGCTCCCCCTGCTTCCCTTCATTACTGCTGGTGAATACGTGCTGACCAGGTGTGGCAATAGTTTTCCAGCGGGATGGTTGGGCAGACAGAGCTGTGATGACGTTCCTGCAGCAACTGAGAGTGTTTAGACCCCATAGGAGGCGTCTACAGGCTTGTCTTGCATGTGGAGCTGCAGCACGGGTATGATTGCAGCAAGCACTGCCGAAGCACCCAGCAAACTTTGCTAGCAGTGTCCTTGGGTCCCAGAACCACCCAAGGTTTCTGGCTTAGATGCCTCTGCAGTTTAAACTGGACATGGAGGCTTGCTGGGACAGTGCTATTTAAAGACTCTCAGCTCCAAGGGCAAAGCTCAGAGCGGTACCTCTGAAACCTGCCCCCTTGAGAGCATGGCTTTACTCTGAGCCTTTTCTGCAAGCAATGCCCCTAAATTCAGTCAGAATTGGGGCATAGCTGGGCTGTGGACAACAGTTTTGTGCTAATCCTTGGTTATCGTGTTTGATTAGAGGATACTGACTAGCCCTGCCTAAGAGTTTGGAGATGACAGAAGCCAGGAGTAATTTTCCTAAGCCATCAAAAGGGAACTTGCTTGTAACAAAACTAGTGATTTGAAGACTGTTGGTGCAGTCAGTGCTTCTTGGTGCAGAGCACCTCATAAAGGTTTCATTTTGCTGGTGGGAGGGGTGAGGCTTGCTATTTTCCTGTACATGCCACATCCTTGCTGAAGCCCAAACCTTCCCATCTCCGCATAGTATACACAGCGAATCTTACAGCTTGGAAATGTGCCCAATGAAAACACATCTGCCAGTGCTCAGGCTAACTGGCAGAGAGGTTATCAGCCTGCAGGATGTCAGGGACAAGGTCCTGAGGCCTGTTGATGGGCAGCATTGACATGCGTGGCCTGTTGCAGCTGCACAGTGAACTGATGAGAAGGGTGGCAGTGGGAGGCACAGGGCTTAGCAGGAACCGCAGGCTTGTTTGGAGCACCAAATAAGCCACTGGACTCTAGGGTGACACATCCCCAGCTTTTCCTTCTCAGGGGTACGAGAAGAGATCCTACGTGCAATTTTCAAGCTATAAACTTCCTTATTCTGGAAGGACTGCATTCCAAGGTAGTCTGCTC